TTCATAAACAAAATATTGTAATCAGCATCAGACTTGTTTCCTTACACATGCATTCTTCACATAGACTTTAAGTAGATATCACTGTTACATTAGTCCTTCACATAGATTATAACACCTATTAAATACCAATTTTGGAAAACGCGGAAACTTTCCTTTTTATCATTTGTTTTTAAACATTTTCTCAATTTCAGAATAAATTTCTTTGGGTTCTTTTTTTGTTGTTGTTTCCCCAGGAGCTGAATGATGTTATAAAAAGTTTTCAATGTCGTGTCGTCACACCCGCTTGGCTGGAGGACTGCCTGGCTAAGGGGAAACTACTGGCCACCGAAGATTACCTCATTTCATTAACTTGAAATAATTTTAGCACTACCTCTTGAGTGTCATCATTGGAGGAATGAATGAAGTGTAACTTCAGAATTAGGGACAGATTTATTTTTGATCTTATCACTGCTATCAGAAACATTGACATAGTAGGATATGTGTTCACTAGCAGTCTGTTCACAATGCCCAAAAAAGTGCAAGTATTGCAGATATAAATAGTAAAAATCAGTTTCGTAAAATAATTTTTAGTCGTTGGTTGAACCGTGCAAGAAGCCAGGTGAAACCATAATGACCACTGTAAATTGTTTTAAAATGTGCATTCCTGGCAAGTCCTGGTGTTTATCCGACACTAAATCATGTGTATATTAGTTGTAATTACTTTATTTTACAATCGATTGTTTTCATAAATTAATTTATCCTTTGTGTAAAACTCCAGTTAATGCCAATACATTTTTTAAAAACAATTAAAATTATTTTCTTAAAATAAATTTAGTGTTTATTGTCATTTTTTTCTACATAAATTTTTGCCACGCACACATAACATTCCACACGCCACGTACACAACATTCACACACCATGTACACATAACATGCCACGTACACATAACATTCCACACGTACATATAATATTCCACATGCCATGTACACAACATTCACACGCCATGTACATATAACATGCCACGTACACATAACATTCCACATGTACATATAGGGCCTACCATTCCACACACCATGTACATATAACATTCCACACGCCACGCACACATGACATTTCACACCCCACGCACACATAACATTTCACACGCCACATACACATAACATTTCACACGCCATGTACATAACATTTCACACGCCGCGCACACATAACATTTCACACGCCATGCACACAACATTTCACACGCCATGTACATAACATTTCACACGCCATGCACACAACATTTCACACGCCATGTACATAACATTTCACACGCCATGCACACAACATTTCACACGCCATGCACACAACACTTCACACACCATACACACAACATTTCACATACCATGCACACAACAACACACGCCACGCACACATAACCTTCCACACGCCATGCACACAACATTTCACACCCCATGTACATAACATTTCACACGCCATGCACACAACATTTCACACGCCATGTACATAACATTTCACACGCCATGCACACAACATTTCACACGCCATGCACACAACATTTCACACGCCATGTACATAACATTTCACATGCCATGCACACAACATTTCACACGCCATGTACATAACATTTCACACGCCACACACACATAACATTTCACACGCCACATACACATAACATTTCACACGCCACGCACACATAACATTTCACACGCCATGTACATAACATTTCACACGCCACACACACATAACATTTCACACGCCACATACACATAACATTTCACACGCCATGTACATAACATTTCACACGCCACGCACACATAACATTTCACACGCCACGCACACATAACATTTCACACGCCATGCACACAACATTTCACACGCCATGTACATATAACATTTCACACGCCACGCACACATAACATATAACACGCCATGTACATATAACATGCCACGCGCCGCATACATAAAACAGTCCACACGCCATGGTCACAACTTAATGTGATTTTCATGAAGTTCATAAACACTAAAGAAAGTTCGACACTCATTGGAAGATACAGATTTATTTCAAAGCATGTGTAGTCTATCTGTTCCAATACAGATGTTAATTATTTATTTATATATTTTTTTTTTTTGGGGGGGGGGAGGGATCAACAAATATATTATATATAATGAGTAATATAAAACTAATAATGGTAAGTCATTAATCTTTTTTCAAATGGGCCTATATTTCTATAGAGTAGTTCTTTTATTAGCTGAAAAAAATGAATGACACCAATGTGACCCTTTCGAAATGACCGAATACCGTATTTGTGACGTGAACAAAGGTTGGATTATTGAATATTTGCAGCACGCTTTTTTTTTCTTTTCTTTTTTTTTTTTGGTAGTGTTGTGGGGCAGATTTTTTGGGCCGGGCACCGCTCAGGGCTAATTTTTGTTATATCTAACTCTAACCCCAGCTGTGGCATATATAGGCTATATATATATAATTTATATTTATATATAATTTTAAAAAATTGAATATTAGGGTTCCATTTTCCTCACTCTGCAGATAATCTATTATCAGTCGAAAAATGTACGGGTGTGAAGGGTGAAGGGGTGTGAGAACTGAAATTTATTTGCGTACGTTATATTTTATACCTTATATATGGACGGCCTCTTACCCAAGTAAAGTGCCGGGTTAACTTAAGCCTAAAGACAAATGAGACATTAGCCCCCCCCCCCCTTTTAATCCCATGACAAGGGATCTATTTATTTTGCGTTGGGGACTTTATTTTAACTGGAACGTAATATTGTAATGACGTCACGTATGGTACTAATGGACATTTTGAAAACCTCCATAAATAAAAAGTTATAGAATTTAGGGAGAGAATAGAAAATTTAAATTAAAAAAAGGGGGGGGGGGGCAACACGTGTCAACTTTTCCTAAGAAGGTTAAAAAGGTCAAAGGTTAAATTTGTAGAGACACTTATTTTTTTATGAAACCAAGAATAAATATAACAAAAGTAAAATGTCACTTAATTGGGTCAGTGTCAGCTAATTGTGTCAGTCTACAGTGTCCGCTAATTTGGTCAGTGTACAATCTCAGCTCATTGGCTTGTTTCCAAGGATACATAATAAAACCCAACCTACGCGCCGCAGTGGGCCCCGCACTTTCATAGGCCCCACTTTCTAATACAAAATCTTAATTTTCACTTATTATCATTATCCCTACCCAGACTGGGCCCCGTGCAATCCGTTTCGCATAAGTCCCCGGAATTGTTAGGGCCGGCTCTGCTTCTGGCGGCTGGACAACAACAGGGATCCTACCTGCCGGCGTTGCAGCCTGGTCCCGGAGACACTAGCGCACCTGTTGACCGAATGTCCTTCACTAGATTCCTGGGGGAAGCCAGGGCGGTTGGAGAACAATTTGTGAGGAAAATGTTGATGGCTCAGCTCAGCAGATGGAGTTGGTAGCCAATTTACTAGCCGGGGTCATAAGAGAGCAATATCAGACCTTTCCCAGAATATTTGTGTTAGTTAGTTCCAATATCTCATAATAATGAGTACTAATTGATAGTAAAATTAAATATGTTTTGCGTCTTTTGCGCCGAAAATACCGCCCAGCCCTATATAAAGTAAAAATTGTCGCGAAGGTCATACTCCTACGGCGAAGGATTGTAAGACGATCCAAAGTAGGCCTACACCAATCAATTATTTTTTTCCCAAAGAAAACACTTTCGGTGTTCAGTAATAGTGGTCATTATAAATGAGACAGAGCAATTTTAAAAATCAGCAAACAAACAAACAACAACACTAGACTAATTTTATTAATTTCTGTAACTATAAGAACGTAAAATAGGTCAATCGGCCTTACTTTTTTATAATACTAAAATAGCAGTCTTTATATTTCTTTTAGCGATGAAATGAGCAGAGGAGGCTCTAGCAATCTTTCACAGGAATATGGAGTATTAGGCCCTTGTTGAAACAATTGAGCATTTATTCACTTGTTTCTATGTTCAGTCAATCAAACTGGCGAATTATGGAAGTTCGATTGATCGAAAGCAGAGGCAGAAGCGTAGCAAGATCACCCCCCCCCCCCCACCCCAAAAACAATAAACCTCCAAGAGGAGGCTCTAGCAATCTTTCACAGGAATATGGAGTATTAGGCCCTTGTTGAAACAATTGAGCATTTATTCACTTGTTTCTATGTTCAGTCAATCAAACTGGCGAGTTATGGAAGTTCGATTGATCGAAAGCAGAGGCAGAAGCGTAGCAAGATCACCCCCCCCCCCCAACCCAAAAACAATAAACCTTCGCTAACATCAAGCTTGATCATTTATGATCCATTTTTATACATGTATAGGCCTACTTAAGATTTAGTCTAATTTAATAACAAATTAATGTATTTAGCCTATACTTTTATTTTTTCACCACATGCACATGCAAGAAGGCGCGAGTTGTTAAAAGATAAAAGTCTTACTAGACTAAACTTCTGAATAATCGCTTTTCTTTTTTTTTTTTTTAGTTTCCGGGTCACATCGGAGACCTCATTTACAGAATTTGCACACACATACACACACAAAGGTGAGGGGGGAGAATCGCCCCTGTCCCTCCTGGATCCAACTGTGGTCTAAGAATGTTTAGTGGTTTTTTTTTTAATTTAGCTTTTTAGGGAGTGTGTCAAACTGCCCCAGTTCCATGTGTCACAAACTTTTAACTTTAGTCTGCTACCCCAGTCCACACTAGCCATTAATATCAATAACAGTTAACAGTGATTTTAATTTAATAGTTTTCTTTTTTTAAAGACAGTTTTTGAAAACAAATTGTTGTATTTTAAAATGGTTAAATTCTAAAAAAAAACTCTCAAATAAGTTCCCGTTGGTTTGGTCTGAAAGTTGATTTAAATTAATTTTATGCATCCATTTTCAGATCTATAAAAAAATACAGAACAGGGCGAGTCTACGACTGATACTGCCCAAGAAAGTCAAAGGCCGCCGAATTATTTCCCTTAGTGAAAACAGCGCCACCATTGATTTGTCAAGTTGTGGCATCAATTTATTATAGTGCAGTTTTCGCTTCAAATTAGTATTTAGACAAGGTAACCGATATTATGTGTAATTCACTGTTATTTTAAAACATAGAAACCATCTTAGTGGGTTAAAAACTTTTACACGCATAGACCTCTCAAAGGGGACCGTCAGGGAGACTACTCTAACGCGTAAAGACCACCCAAATCCAAAAAGAAAGGTAGTGGCAGATTACTCTTGATTTTCTCTTCTGTTTCTCTTTGGCAACAGACGCCGAAAAAAGGATATAAAGTTAATTAATTCTTAATAAGTAGCATAAAAGCAAGGATGTGATGATTAAAATTACACAAGAAAGAATTCTAGCTTGTACATCTACCTAACCACTTATCACGACAGGAACGTGCTGATAACGCAGGGGCAGGAGTAATGTCGCCACTGAGTCCTCTGCCACTGTAGTTCGTTTTGTCACCATCCAATAATTCATACATTATTATATTTATAGGTGAATGAATTAAACTGAAATTAAAATAATTATGTTTTAATTTCATTTACCATATCTATTCAGTTTATTATGATACCGTATGGAGTAGGCCTATTCTATAACATTTAAGAAGGACTCACAAAACCAAATTAAAACAATTCTGTTTATTAATTTTAGTTTACTGTCTTGTGTCTTGCACTCTTGCAGTGCAGAAGACAGGAGGTAAAGTTGCTATATATACCAACAGCGTTTTCCAAATGCTGGATCACAACCCTAGTACAGGGCCAAAAAAGCAAAATACTGGGTTACTAAAGGGTTTTTAAAAATGTTTGACAATAAGTCATTATCATTAAGTGATTAGTCTTAAGTAGGTGTTTCCTTGCCTTTGGCTTTTTCAAACTTTTTGTTTGGTCCTTGGTTTTATTTTACCCATAAGTATGTAGTATGAGCACCTTCTTAGTAATGAACACTAATAAATCGGGAATATCAATGTTATTTAAAAAAAAGAAAGGAATGAAGCTAACAAAAAATAGCATATATCTTCGAATAAATCTTATTCTTACACAACACAGTTAATAGTTCCAGCAATGAAAATGTAGACATCTCAAAAATTTGATAAGAACAATCAATAGCCTCAAGAAGTATGCTGGTAATATCATAACACAGTGAAGTGTAGACTTGTGGTAATATTAGGATACTATTACAGAAACTATTCTAGGCTACACTAAAAGAGTGTTGTTTTTATTACTTGCAAGTCTATGAAAACTTGCAAATAAAAAATGATGTCACATCTAATGAGTGTTTTGAGTTACAATTTTCACAAACAAGTTACAACACGAAGATTTTATCCTTCTTAAATTTCTGACAATTTCAAATACCTTTTTCCATGATCTATTTGAAGCAAATTCAACACAGTATTTTTTCCTAAATAATAAATATAAAATCCAAAATGGAAGCGTCAAATGAGATTTAAGAGTAAATTTATTATCTTTTACTCTAAACATGAAATTTCTATTTAACAAAAACCTGAATCACACTGATAATAATAAATTATTGACCAGGTTTCTTTTTAGTTATTTTCATATTTTTCAGAGTATCAGCTTTTTTAATTAAACTATATAAAAATAATATTGACATTCACATCTGTTTTATGTTAACTATAGGCCAGAATAAGCAATACACATTTTGTTGGTTACAAAGGAGAGTAACAGTATACAATAATCTGGCCATGAAAAAGTATTTTGGGAAATGCAGTTATAATACTATTGACATTGATGTTGTCTTATGCTTAGTATTCAGTATGCTGTCATGGCTTCGGTAGCATGGTACATATGATGGAGTCCATAATAACAGGTGTAGTTGTCTTAAGGCCTATAGTTTTACTGGCATGAAAAAAAAGTCAAGCTGCTATTTCAACATGATGTAGCCCTGTTCACCAATATGATGTATATGTTTAAATTATAAGTCATTTTTTTTTTAAAGTGCAGAGTTGTGAAATTGAAATTCAGTTCTTTTATTAAACTTCTGGTCCCCACATAAAATCCAATGCCTACTTATAAACAAGACCAGTCACTCAAAAGACATGTGAATGTTATGTAACATTGTTACTTTGGTTTAAGTAGTATTATTAGCCTCATTGTTCCTAAACATTATGACCGGAGTTGTATATTTACGATTACATTTTCAAATTCTAGTTACTCTTTTTATATGATATAAGCAGAATGATAATTGGGCTGGGATCTTTGAAACATGAGGAATGCTGTTTTACCAATGATTCTTTTTGTTCAGAAGACTTCCATAAAAACTTCTTGTTAAACTGTCTTCGTTGTGATGATTATGTGTTATGGATTTTTGGGCGATACTGCAATGTTTAAAATACCTATTACCAAGACAGTTTAAGAGTATGTTTGTTAATCAACAATGTGTGAAACTTTTTTATAGATCATGGTTAAGGCAATTTTGAAAATAGGAAATGCAGAATCTGTTTGCACCTGCTCAAATAATGCAATAATTCAATGCACTTTTTTTTTTTAATCATTCCCAGAATTTAAAATATGCCTAAAGAAAAGGAGGTAACCAATCATCCATGTCATTTACTCAGCCTCCCTTCAGCCAAAAGGTTTTGGTGTAGACACTGCATGACAGTATTTGAAGATGCCATCACCAGATGGCGGCACAGCCGTTCGTGTCGCTATGGCGTCGTCAACAACTTTATGCGCCGTCGTGAGCTTGAGGCTAAAGCTCTACAGAATACCTCTGTTTTGAATCCAGTGGAGGCCAGGCTAGAACAGAGCATCCAGATGTCAGATTTAGCCTCTAGTAGAGTTCCATCCACCACTGGCATGAAACACGAAGTAGAGGACCTGCAAGATTCTGATTCTTTCACCTGCTTTATTTGTCATCAGAAGTTCTCATCCATGGAGGAGATGAGATTTCATGTGAGGTACCCATGTAGCAACAGTAAAATTATTACATCGCACGTACCCCATCCAAAGCACTCAGTGCCGGTGTTTATAGATTCACTTCCAGTAAGACAACAGCAGTGGCCGCAAAGCCTGCAATCGCAGGCCGAATTGCATCAGTCCTACAGGCCGACTCAAGCTCAGCCACAGTCTACACAACCGAGCATCAGCATGCAGATGATAAATTCTGAACAAGATTTAGAGGGTAGTTATGAAAACTCTACTGTTTCATACAGCAGTAATCACTCATCGGACACTATAACACCAACTAACATCTATGTCAATGAGCAAGGAGAAACAGTGATAGAGGTGGAAAATCTAGATTTAAATGCAGAAGGAGGAGAACTCTCTCTTGCTCATTTGCTGACACAGTTGTCTCGACAGGGCATCGTTTTTGATAAGACAAGATCAGCAGAACTTCAGAGTAAGGCAGAAGTGAGCGTCACCACTGCTTCAAACATAGTATACACAACAGAGGCAACATTTGAAAACTCCTCTGTGTCCACAGCAGTTTTGAAAGAGGATGAGGGGCAGCCGACTGCTGAGGATGCAGCCAACACACTGGCACAGCTGGCTGGTTTCAGAAGCTTCAGAAGTAACCAGCAGTCTTACGAGGTGTCCCAGACTGATGAACACCAGCAGCTGAATGCCGCAGACAACTGTAGCAGTTCTATACCTGGGACAAGCAGATACTACACCACGAGTTCTCAGGGCGCCATGGACATTACATATGAGTATGAATATTCGAATTCTCCTGGAATCAGCCACAGTCATTCTGCTACCACAGAAGAATTTTCACAAGCAAAGTCATCAGCTCCCCCACAGTATCCAAATGACAAAGGTGAAGAGGAAGATGTTGATGGAGAATCCATTCAACAAATTTATGACCCAGAAACGGGCTCATACTTAACAGTCAGTGTCAATCACTGTGAAATGGAGGCAGAGGAGGAAATGGTTCAGAGCAACAGTGGATCTACGCAAAGCGTTCCTGTGGGGGATGAATTACATCAAGATGCTACTCAGCATTACTCCGAAGAGACAAAAACATATTCTGATCATCAGATTGACCCATCTTCAACAGAACAGTCTGTTATCGGCCAGACATCAGATAAAAGTGATAACCTTATCATAGGAACATTTGAAAATGGATGTTATACCAAGGAAATTGGCCAGGCCCCAGGAAACTCTGAAATACTTATCATAGGGGATGGGAAAGATGTTACTAAAAGTAGCAATCAAAACAATGATAAGTACTCAGAAGTTATAGAATTTTCTGTCCCTGCAGAATCTCTTCAAGAGATTGTTGATGCTAGTCACTTAAATTTTGATGAACAGCAATCAGAGAATGTTCAAAATGAAAACAGAGATCCAGAAATTTTATATGAGAATCAGCCTCATTTTACAGTTGATTCACGAAAGGATCATTTGTCAGTTGTGGAAGGAAATGACTCGTTGACTTTGATATATGAAACGGATGGCCAGTCTACATCTCAGTCCAGTGAAGATTTGGCTGCGTCTGAGGGCACAGTTTATGTAGTCACTTCAGCCGGCATTCTGCCACGCAACAGGAAAGATAACTAAAAGTGGGCTTTAAAAATTATTTTCCTACAGGTAATGAATGCTATTTAAGATTATTTATATATTTTAGAATTAGAGATAATAGCTATCTAAAGGACTAAACCAATTAAGTTTGTATAATGTGGCTCTTTAACTGTAAGTAAGAGTAGAAACTTCAAATTGTATAAATATATATTTTTTAAACTTAAAAATTAAGACTTTTCAGTTTCAGAAACAAAGTTATTGTCATAAAAATCAAATGCCATTTCTTTTTAAACTCACATGTATCTAACATTATTTTTCTTTAATTCATGTAAAGGTCATTCCTGAATAAAAGTTGCTGCACCAAAAGAAATAGCTGATTGAAAGGTCATCAAAAGAAAAAAAGCCTTGACAAAGAGTTATACTTATGGCTTTCGCTGAGCATACATTATAGAAATCTTTTTTTTGGTTGTTTCCTTTTTTTAATATAAATTTGGCAAGGATTTTTAACACCCCCCCCCCCAAAAAAAAACAACACTCAAATTTTGTATTATTGATACGGTAATTTCCAATTACAGAAAATATAATTTAAAAAAGATAAAATTTTAATTTTATTTTTTTTGGTTTTTTCCTTTTTTTAAAAAAAATTTGGCAAGGATTTTTAACACCCCCCCCCCCAAAAAAAAAAACAACACTCAAATTTTGTATTATTGATACGGTGAGTTCCCATTACAGAACATATGATTTGAAAAATGTAAAATTTTGATTTTCTTAAAGAAACGTAAGGAAAATTACGGCTAAATTTTTGCACTCTTTGAAGTGTCATTGTTAACCCTACAGACCAAGTTTTAATAACCAGTGGAATCATATTTATTGAACGAAACTACCACAATCAAATGCTGTATGTAGAATCGTGCTTAAAAAACAGTATCCAAACTTAGTGTTTCATTATCTAGATAGTTTATATATGAACCTCCACAACGTAATACTTTATCTTAGAAATCTTCTTTTTTTTTAAATGTGTTACTTCTACAAATTCATATATCAAAATGTCAGCTTAATCTGTACTCATAGATTGGATCATAGATTGGATGCTGGATATCCCATTCAGTGCTGGCCTTAGCTATGTGTCATCAGATTCAGAAGTCAGCAACAATCAGTTATACTTTTTTTGAGAACATTTTTGAAGAAAAAGATACATTAGCAAAAATCTAACTAATTTTTTTTAATTCGTCTACTAGAATAAGTTGCAGTGTATTTTCTGTTTCTTTTGACATTCACGTTTCAAATATATTATTTAACATTTAGAATACAACAACACTCTTATTTAATTTAAAATTATTTTTAATACAAGTATTGATCATCCAAATTAATATTTCAAAATGAATTATTAAGTAATTTCTTATATATATATGATAAGAATGTTATTGCTAATCATTCAAATGTTAACTTTTGTTTAGTTAATCTTTACTGTACTTAAGTCTTACAATAGTCACAGAGATATATTTAAAGATTTATTTTATGAACTGATTCTACAAGTTGCCTTACATATGGATTCAAAATGAGTGCAATTAAATATTAAAAAAAAACATTAAGCATAGGGACAATGGATTTCGCTAAGGAAAATTATCATTTTTAAAAATATATGTTTTATTTTAATAAAGAAATTGACAAACAAATATATTGGCATTCCCAGTAACTATGATAGAAGAATAAGCAAATCATATACCTTAACAATTTCAGAAAACTATCTCTTTAAATTAATGAGATTAATGTATAAAAATCATAAGCACATTTTATATCATGGCTGTCAAATTTAGATTACACTGGGTTTTTTTAGTGTATTTTAATGTAACTGTTCTAATAAATATAGAAATTGCAACATTATAAATAGTTTAAAACTGAAAAGTAAGTAATACTACAAGCATTTAAAAAGGCTTAAAATTACATCTTCTCATCATCCTGTTTTAGGCTTAAGTCTTGGAAACTAAGTTCACACAGTTGGATTAATTTAGATACATTTTTTGGTTCAATCACACAGCAACTGGATAAAAAATTGGCTTAAGGAGTAGTATTCTATACAATGAATATTTAATCAACCAGGAATAATTTACTGGTACCCCTTGCACCACTACCTATTCACTGCTCTAATTATATCTTCTGCCCGATATTTGCCGTGGTGGGGGGGGTGTTGTTTGAAACCTCACATTTCTTTATGGTGCATTAATATTGGCATGTTTATTATTTTTATCTCTAGATTTGTATTTTCTAAATCAAGATTTGCTTTGGTCACACACTTGCCAGGTGCTGTCTGGCATTTTCACTCACATTTTAGCTAATTGTTTATGATTATTGTTGATGCTTATTATAATTGACCCATTATAGATATTTTATACTTATTATTATTTATGTATTGAAGTGAACTGATGTGTTTGTTTTTTGTAATTCTAAAATAAGACTAATAGTTGAAAAGTTATGGAAATGTCTTGCTAATGGTTTTCACAAAAATAATTCAAGAGGCTGTTTCTTTTGCTATTCCAGAGAGAAGTTCAGATTGTAGAAAATTCATATTATATAATGTGTCATGATAAAAAAAAACTATCAAACAAAAGAAACTGCTGTGTAGTCAATCTGTTATTAATGTAATCTGTAATATATTGCATTATTATTATTATTATACCCAGTGTTCTATATGGGATCTAAATTTATTTTGAATATAACTCACTTATTGTTCAGTAAATTCATATGTAATATTTCTGTCATTGACTTAATAAAACTAATAATAAATTCTTGTTTTTGTTCAGAGGCTAGCTTCAACATTATAATTATATGCAACAGAAATGTCTTTAAAATATTTGTGTACCAGTATGACCCAGTAATTTTATGCTTGCATTTGTCTTTTTAGTAAAGTGGGGAAAAGGTTAATTTTATTCTGTTCATTGAGTGGATACTAGGTTGAGTAAAATGTACACTCTTAGCTTCATGTTAAGAAAGCAAACAATACTTCTTTTTTTTTTTTTAATTCTCAATAAGGAAATTCTATTTTATTTCAATCAACTAGAGTTTTTTCATTTCTAGCAAATATTTACTCAAAATAAAAATGTATGAACTTAATATGGTTTCAACTTATTTTATTATAAGGTTATTATATGGCTAACAGTTTCTATTAACAAAACAGCTTATTATAGTATTGATTTATATTTAATGAAAATTATTGTGACTTGCAGTGCCAATTTTGGGATATTTTAAAGATAATTCTGTTTATTCTGTGCACCAATCATGGGTAGATATTTTGGGGGAAAAGTGGTGGTGCTGTCCTTAATCATAATTTTCATGACTGTGAACTCTAAAAATTATTTTAGTATACAAAATAGCTAAATGTATAGGTAAGACACATTGTTGATAACAGCAGTCTGCACATATAAGTAAGATGTGTTGATAAAATCAGCCTGCACATATAAGTAAGACATATTGTTAACAGCAGCTTGCGGGCCACATAATATAAGTAGGTGGGATGCTATTCACATAGGCTACCGCATTTATTACATATATTATATTTAACACAATACAATTATTCAAAAATAAATTTAATTAAAATTAGTTAATAAGCAAAATTAAAACTCAATTTCTCCATGATCTTAGCGTTGCTTTGTCAGCTCAAGCTCCATGCCCCCCTCCCCACACACCTTTTCCATTTTCTTCGGCAAAAGAAAAACTTCTCTTGTGGAGTTCAGTTTGATGTGCTTGTTCCTATTTTATTACATTGATTTATTGATGAGGGAAATGTGAGACATTATTTCCAAACTTACTGCTTCCTACCAACTTGGCATGGGTTAGCAGCAAAAAAAAACGTAATTTCAGACTTTCAGCGGAACAAAATCTGGCAGCCCAAGCTTCGTTTCACAATATATTCACGTTCTAACTTCTGAGTTTCGTGGATATTGCATGTCTTGATGAAAATGACGACAGTAGAGGAACTTTACAAAGCATTTGGTTTGCTCGCAGATGCAAAAGACAAAGCTGGGGAGGTTAGTAAAAAGTTAATGAATGATCTATTTGATTTTAAATAGCCGACCCAACGATACCATCGCTATCGTATTCATAACGAGGTCGTGGTTCCTGAGAATGGAAGAATTCAGCTATTTTTCTCACTGTCTTGTAGCCTGTTTCGTTTTAGGCGTACGTAAGTAATGTAGTAAGTAAATAAATCGGCGTTCGTTTATTGGTAATTCTGGTCGGCGTCTATCGTTGAACGTACTATAAGTAACTATCTATATATCATTAGGAGTAGGCATGTTAATAATGGGTATATAAAGTATATATAAATGTAATAAAATAAAGGCCATCATCATAGTTTTGTAGTAGCCTGGTCTGATACTGATAGGTAAAGATATATTTTAAATATACCTTAGTAATATTTGGAAAGAAATAAAACCCTCTTTAAGAAGTGTCCTTCTGTAACAACTTAAGTTCCTGTTCCGTTGGGTATCAAATTCTGGTTCAGTAACAACTAACGTACTAAAGACAGGTTAGGAGAGTTGGCAATTTAAAAAAAATGATTGACTGATTCGATTTTAATTTAAATAAAATGTGAAAAAAGAGGAATTTTCATTTGTTCTCTAACTTTGATTCATTGATTGTCATAGTACAGTGGGATTTATATTTAACTATAATATGTAAATGCGCCAGTTACTAAAAATTTAATGACAAATTAGGGAAACGTTATGGGTTATTGAAGTTATTGTTTTATACTTTATGATTATTAAAAGGACAAATTAATCATTAATATGGGTTATGAAGATTGATATTATCAATCTTCTCCACCTAGAAGCATCACTGAGACTTCTCTTACACAATATGTAGTGGCCTAATTATTAGGGGTGTGCCGGACCCCGGTCTGGAATCCGGTTCCGCCGGATTTTGCACTATCCGGTGAAATCCGGTTCCGCCGGATTTACATGTATCCGGAACAACCGGATTCCGGAATCCGGAATATACCGGATTTCGGAATTTGCCAGATTTTGTGACTCACCGGATCATAATCTGAAATAAAAGTAATTCTCTTTCCCGAATTTCACACGATCACGATACATTAATCGATTGTTTCGAGCGTTGAGCTTGTTTAATATTCCGTACATACCAGAGGCTAGAGTCAGCACCGCTAATAGTGGCCAATAGTGTAGGGACTTTGATAAGAAAATTTAAACTTTTTGTAAAAATAAACCAATGGCATAGTTGAAAAGATGTAATTTTTTAAAGAATTATAACACCAAAATCATATTTTTAGCTGTTGTAGTTTTAAAGTTATGAATTTTTAAAGTACGACTTGGTTTGTCATTTTTTAACATGGACTGCATCTCCACATTCTGTGATCTCATTCCACCAATCCCGTCATGCGCAATGACTATATAGTTTATATAAGGCAACGCATTCCCTGCCTTATCACTAAAATACTGTTTAGACTTAGTTTAAACTTTCAACTTTGGCACATGAATAATTAATTAAAGCTTTCCCTGACCAATGGTTTAATAGTTTTTGCACACGGCAAACTCTTATGAATGAAACTCTGAGGTAGTACTACGATACAGTTATGCAAGTGGCTGTGAATGGTTGCCAATGACAACGTGTTGCACACGGTAAATTCTGATCATTTATAATATGGATTCTACCGGGTTGTTAAAGCTCAAATTAAAACATTCCAGTTCAAATGTCTTTAAATGCATTCTGAAACACAAGTTATCAATTATTTTGATGTAAATAGTGATAATAAATTAATATTTCCTAAGTATCGTCAACTTCCGCCATTAAAAAGGGGGGCGTGGCCAACCCCATGGCGAAATTAGGTTGAGCGAGCTGCATAACCAGCTGCGAACGCGTAGAAACATGGCGTCTCTCGTAAGACACTTATCCAAATGGAACGGAACTCAAATATATATCGAAAGTACTAATTTAATAATAAATAGACACACACATCGGAAAATTAAAAACTCGGATTTTTTGGCGCCGATTGCGAATTCCCATACACAAAAAGTAGTAGTCTACCTTGACTTACCGAAGTATCTACCAATAGTACCAAAATCCGGGAGAAACCGGAATCCGGATCCGGCGGATTTCGCATAAGAAAATCCGGATCCGGTTGGAAAAAACGGATCCGACACGCCCCTACTAATTATATTTAATTTATACACAATACTAATTTTGTTTGTTTTTTAACTAAACAAGTTGCTGACGCTGGATGGAAAAATTTTGCTGCATATCAATATCATAAGTGTTGTTTAATTTTTCACACATTAATACTAATACAATCTCTGCTCTGAAAGGTGTTGGCTGTGGATAAGGGAAATAGAGGATGATAATAAAGAGAAATCATTTTGTTAATCAAAATGTCCTTTATAAATAAATATTTCTAGTTTTGATTGACTACGTAAATAATGATGTACAATATCAGCAAAACATGTTTGGTTGTAACAAGTTTGTTAGTTTTAGTTCTTAGTCAGTGATATTGAATTTTAGGTTTGACTCAGTCAAAAGCAGAGTTCAGTGTATTCATTTTGGGTTTGGTTAACTTCCCATTTCTAATATCCTCAGTTTCCATATTTTTAGAATCTGAAATTCAAAAATATTTTATTCTGCATTTGTGATTGTTTGTTGTAATAGTATTAATTTTAAAATAAAATAGTTAAATTCTGAGCGCAGGCTAAGCTCACACACTCTGCATTGATATCAAAAACAAGGTACGGGAGATCCCCATATCATATCCAAACGGAAGGATGGGGACTGATTTCAAATGTATGCAGTTAAAATACATAAATAACTATATTTCAGGCAACGCTTAAGACATTATGTAAAATTGTGGTAAATTCTGAGAAAGCGCCCCAAGTCTATTTCCATGGCCGCCATCTTGGTTGCCTCGACCCGCGCACTTTTACATGTGCACGGGTCGAGGCAACCAAGATGGCGGCCATGGAAAAATAAAATAATTCACGTTTGCTAAAATTTGGAAGAAAAATTTTAAAATGTATGACAAAATTGTCGGAAATCGATCCCTATGCCTAACCCTAACCCTAAATCTATCCCTATGCCTAACCCAAAATCGATCCCTATGCCTAACCCTAAATCGATCCCTAACCCTTACCCTAAATCGATCCCTATGCCTAACCCTAAATCGATCCCTAAGCATAACCTGAACCCTAAAAACTAGCCGTAAATCCACAAGCGAAAACACATGGAATTTCACACTTTGGGAAGAAAACTATAAAAATTAACAAAAAAAACAATAAAAAGGGGCCCCAAATAATTATAAACTGAAGAAATAATGAAAATCCAACTAACAGTTTCATGAAATACACTTTTACACACTTTATTTCAGGCTCCAAGGAAAATATAGCCACAAAATGAATAAATCTCCACACCCACAGGCACCCCAAAGATATCAAACATGGCGGAACAAAAGAAATATGATAATGAGCCAACCAATGAAAATTTTACAATGATAATTAATCAACCAATAAAATTTTAATTCCGAAAATGTAACTCTTTTAACAAAAAAATATTAAAAAATAAAGGGAGTGAATCCAAAACAAAGTCGTCGTGGGCCGCTAAATCTGAAATAGCCAAAATTGTTTATTAATATCATTAGGCATAGGCTAGATGGTAAGCCTATGATTTTTTACTACAATTAAAATTAAAAATGTCGCTGATGTGCCCATGTCATGTAATATTAATATAACAATTATTACATTTGGCTCTAGTTTTAATCTCAGAAATAATGTAAATTTGATATCTTTTACTAAACAAAACCTAGCCCACTGAGTTTTTAACTAATAACAAATGTGAAGTGGAAAAACCCTTATTATCATATGGAAAGTGGGAAGTATAGGGACCCATTTTCAACAGGATGGCGATAGCTTTTCTAGATCTAGTCGTAATGATAGCTTTTCTAGATCTAGTCGTAAGAAAATCATCAATATAGGTCCAAATACGACCTACATAAATTGAAAACAGGCTGAATACAAGGCAGTATTTTTTGCTATATTTAAAATTGAATTTTTATATTTTGCACGACCAGTCGTTAGTACTTAGGTAACCATTTGTTTGATCAGATTCTCAAAGGGATGAAATGAAATGATAAACTCAGGTGTTAGGCTCTCTTTTGTATGAAATATAATTAAAGTTCAATCTTGCAATGTAGGTTATTGTTAGGTATGTGACATACTGAGTTAACGTTGGAATTCATACAAGTAATTAAGGTCCTCCATAACAAGGCATGGTTTGGACCACGGATAATGTCCAATTTTCTTATTTAACTGGTCTTCAGTGTCAGTTATGATCCTGACATTTGATGTTGGATCATTATTAGAGTGGTTTTCTATGAATTATTTGGTCAAAATACCTTATTGGTTGGCAAATGAAATCATTGTTCTTATTTAAAAATTAACATGTATAAGTCAACAAAAAAAAAGAAGCTAATTAAATTGTTTATTTTCAGCATGAGGCAGAGTTTCGCTTATTTCTGGCGGCCAGTAAAGGCAATGTTGGTGAAAAGAGACTTGCATCCCAATTCATATGTAGATTTTTTAAGTACTTTCCTACAGCTCAAGATGATGCCATAAATGTTTTATTTGAACTCTGTGAGGATTCTGATGCTAATGTAAGAAAATTTTGTTAGTATTGTTATGTACTGTTATATGGTTTTGCAAATAAAGAAAAACAATACCAGAGCTAATAATATTACCAATATTCAATATAATTATACTATTAAGTTTATTAAAAGTATACAAAATCAAATATACAAAAATAAAAACTGTATTAACTTAAAGCACATCAAGTGAAAAGTTGTAATCCTTGAAAAATACAAATTATTTAATATACTCCCAAAGAGTAAAATCTTGTAAGGCTCCTATAAGTATGTTAAGTCTTGAAAGTTTCATGTCTAGGAAATCTAGCAAAAATTTTCCGGCTGGGAAAGCTGCCATGTTATTTATAATAGTGGGTGGTGGAGGTAACAACTGGAATCTAAATTTTCACTTAAAACAAAAAAATACCTGTATTCTAAGGGGTTTGGGGAAATATTATGACATTGTTATAAGACTCTTGCTGTGCACATTGCTAATAGTGAAATGAGCTATTCTTAGAACTGGGATAAAAGTGTTCCAAGATGTGCTATTATAGGCTCATAAAACTTCTGGTCTTTAACTAGGACGTAGTAAATGTGCTCTGTATGACATCCTGCCTCCTCACAAAAGGAGTGCTGAGAAACAATATGGCTCTTAGGATCTGTAGTTAAGAAAGCTGTTGACACCCCCCTTTTTATGTCTTCTCAATAAGTTCACTGTGCATGGTAAATACAGCAAAATAGCCTGTCTTTGGTGGATGCACTGAATTCTAGTTCACATACAAATGATTAGTTCAAAGCTAAAATCCTGTAAAAATTCTTTTAGAAAGATACGAACAATGGGTGGAAATACTGGAAAGAAGACAGAAGCAGATAAATTGGTTTGAATGCATCTTAATTTTTTTTTTTTTTTAACAGATCCGAAAGCAAGCTGTGAAAGACATTCCCTCTCTTTGTCGTACATGCCCTGACAAGGTTTCAAGATTTGCAGATGCTTTGTCTATGCTGCTGGGGACAGAAGATGTGCATGAATTATCCGGCATTCAAGGATCTCTCTATAGCCTCTTCTCAATCAACATAAAAAGTAAAATTTTAGAAAATTCATGAGTCTTCCAAATAATTTATTTCTAGCAAATACCTGTTAAATTAAATTTAATCCCTTAGCTGCACAATTTTTCATTAAAAAAATAGCAAGAAAGTAATATTTTCTTAGATCACATGTTAAGATCAATAGATGGAATCATTAAATGTGTATTACATTAAGCCATTAATTAGTAAATTCTAAAACTTTGCTTTCCACTCTTTCCTTATGACTGTAAATAATAAATGAACATACTTTGCTTGGTCCATTAAATTGTGTTCAATTGTTTGAATTGTGAATGAGTCACATGGACAGACTTCAGGAACTAGTTTTCTTGAGTTTGGTTAAAAGTTAACAGGTGGGAATGTGTGAATTAAATTTCAAGTGTTTCCCAAAGAAAAAGTTCATGCCTAAGACTAAAAAAGTATTTTTAAAGTTTCTTTTGCTTCTGCAAAGACTGTCAATAAAAGAGAATAGTGGAACAAGGTATGTTGAAGCTTGAAATGAAAAGACGGTACAGTACAAGAAGAGATGTCTTTTAAAAATGTGAGTTGTAACACATTTCTCATAGGTGTATTGGAACAGTAAATAGCGCTGTTTCTGTCAGGCACAACACATCAAAATTATTGATGTCTGCTGGTTCAGAAAGGATTTTTTTCAAATACTTTGAAATTGGTAACAAATCACCAATCTGCCATTGCCATACATCTGAACATTGCACCCAAAGCTGAACTATCAACATTTTATTCATTTGTCTAGGTGCTCTGGAAGGTATATTCTCTAGACTCCTCCAAACCTCAGAAGATGAGGAGAGTTCAGATGAAGTCATGGGACTCATCAGAGAGCGGTTGCTCCGATTCCTGGTTGTCAAAATCAAACAGATTGGGGACCTGGAAAAGGATGTTGAGGATTTCATCATGGAACAATCCAAGAAGGTGTGCATTTACCTGAATAGAATATTGCTTCGTTGATATTAGAAGTATTGGTCTCTAACATGATTTTTCACAAAGGATTAGGAGGTTGTATAGTCTTTGTCTTTTTTTTGTGAGTCTTCATCAAGATTTCATTGCATTTTATACTAAATCTCACTTAAAATCCTTTCCGATTTTTTTTCAAGAGGAGAATTCACTTTTATTCCTACAAACTTTCAGTTGCTGGAGGATGTTACCAAAGATGAGTTCATTGCAGTAATGGATTTGCTCCGTAGCTTAAAGACAATGGCCACAGTCCAGTCTCGACAGCAGCTGGTGGAAATGGTTGTTGATCAGGCGGCTTTGGATGAACCTTTTGAGGTGTGATGTCTTGATGTTTTACAATGATTTCTATGCATAATAAGCAGAATTTTGTTAAAATATATAAAATAGGTCAACAATTTTTAACATTGTGCCTAAGTAAGATTTCTAATTGAGGGATCAATTGGGTAGACAATTTCACAGGACACCAAATCTGATTTCAGCTTGTTGTATATTCCAATATATTCAGCATGCCAAGAACATATAAGTTTACTTGCTCTAAAAATTTTATACAATATCAAATTATTTTGAAATTGAGATTTTTAGAGAATCTCTGTTTTCCTTAGGTATTTTGACAACAGTATTATCACGTGAAATACTTCTAATTATTTGTTTTCTATGTAGAATGGGGACAAACAATATTTTTATAAAAGTGTTTTTAGCTTGATAAATTCCTTTTGTTTACTTGTATCTCCAGGCATCTGACCCTGATTGTGTTGATAGACTTCTGCACTGTATTAAGTCAGCATCACCAATGTTTTCAGTAAGCTTTGTTGTACTTTAATTATACATTTTTTACATTAAATCAGCAAGTGTTTACCTTTAAGCAGTTCCACATTTCTCTTGATTTCATAACATGTCCAGCACCCCCATGATAAAAAATGCTTTAAAAATTCCAATTGAAATGGAATTTTTGGAGTCTCGTCTGCCACATTGCACAACTAGCAGGTACCCCTGGTTGAGAAGCCCTGCATAAATTTGTCGGTGTATAAGTTTTTTGAAAAATGTTAACCTCCTCAAACTTTTTTTTATAAAAACTCCTAACTTTTTAAACTTTTTGATCTCAGAAAAATGTCCACTCCAAGCCGTTCGTTGTATACATATGTGACCACGTCCTGCCGGTGCTGAAAGATTTGGCCAGCCCGGATGAGGACACAAACATTCAATTAGAGGTGCTAAAAACATTTGCAGAAATCTCTGAGTTTGCTGGTGATATAGATAAGTTGGAAAAAAGAGTGAATACAGTATTTACTGCCCTGCTGGTGAGTACTGATTGCACAGGAAATTTGTTTTCCACATTCAGCCTTTAAAATGAATTTTTTTTTTTAAGGGCAAATGTGTGTCAAATTGCATGGCATCCCATTCCTGTGAACGTTTTTTCAACTTTACCCAGTTTCTTCAACTTTCCCCATGTCTCTTGAGCTGTCTCATATTTCTTCAACTGTCCTTAGTTTTAACCCATCCCTTTATGTTGCAAATCTAGGTGTACCTTTGGATTTTTTTTTCCCTTTACCTCCGTTTTGATTCTGTTCATTCTATGCTTTCATCATAGCTTTAGCTTATTTAATGATATCGAGGAAGATCTTTGCTCAAGGCAAAATATTGTTTTTACTTGTTGTGCTCTTATTGATTCTATATCATTTTTAACTGCAGTCTTTAATATTATAAAGTTTTTCAGCCAAGTTTTAGCTTGATAAAGACTGTAGTATCCTGTGCCCTAAGCTTCTTATTTTTCCTTAGGACTACATGCCCCTACCACCATCAGATGAGAAAGAGGAATTAGCCACAGAGGAGCCTAAGCTAAATTTTTCTCAGGTTGAATGTCTTCTGTTTTCCTTCCACCAACTTGCCAGGAAGTGTCCTGGATTCTTGACTGATGAATCCAACTCAGAACGGCTTAAGGATTTGAGAGTGAGGTATGTTCATTTAGTGTTAGTTCTTTTTGAACATTGTGTTTGAGGACATTTCAGTTGCTTTTTTAAAAAGATAAATTAACAAAGATATTGCCAGTAACAAAAACAGAATGGATTATTTGACATTTATATAATTCTATGTAAAACTTTTCTGTAAAGGTTGGAGGCAGTCAGATTTTGTATTACATGTGTATATTTTTTTTTCCTTAGATTGCAGTACATCGCTCGTGGCAGTCAGATCTGTATTAAACGTTTGAAAGAAGCCCTTGTTGGCAAATCTGGAGATGCTTTAAAAGCTGAAGAGGTAAAATAAAAATATAATAGTGGTTTTGATTCACACTGAACACTTTGCATATTGCTGTAGTAATTTTTCTAAAAACTTGTATTCCCATCTTTCTTGTATCAAGATGCAATGATGGTTACTTTTGCTTTACTTGATATCACTTCTCATTTGAGTGGGGATTGTGATTTTTTTTGTGATTTTATTTAGAATATGACTCATTTTTTAATTAAATAATTGTATTTTCTATGTCATGGATTTATTTATTTTTCTTTGGCAAAGAATGCATGCCCCATATGCTCCCATTCTTTCAATTGTGTTCTGTAATGTTTAGTTTCAGCACTATCATGTAATAACTAGAAATAATCCGCCAAACAATGGGGATTTTATTTTTAAGCAATAAAGCCATACATACACACCTCGATAATCATTATTTGTGATAATTTCATATTGAACTTATGTCCATTTCAATTATCATTAATTTTAGAACAAAAAAAGAATTGTCGCACTGAAGTTGTTTACAAACATAACTTTGCTGGTGAAGGACCTCATGCACAATCCCCCATCCTATAAAGTTACCATCACGTTATCTTGGCGACCAACAAGGGTGAGGCTAAGTTTGATATCTCGAATACCCTTTTATTGCATTAATAGCAGTGTAATCATAAATTTATTTTGAAACAAAATTTATCAGTTTAAATTTAGAATGTCAAAATAATTTTTATTTTTAAAAACACTATTTTTTTCAGGAAATAAAACCAGTTGAAAGCTCTGAGAATCTGAAAAACCCATCTCCAGGGTGTGTATGGTTATCTTAACATAAAGTTTTGGTAGTTGGATATTGTCTTAGACTTTTGGTATTAAAAAGTACAGCTTCATTTATTTATCTATGTATATATATGTGTGCATATATTGTATTGATAATGTCAGATTGTTTCATAAAATGTAAAAAAAATAATTTTCTCAATCATCAATGCATCTTGTATTTACATTCAATTACTCAAATTTGATCTCATTATAGTTTTGATTGACTAATGTGGGCAGCTGAATGTGTTTCATAGTCTAGTCTTTATTTTTTTTCAATATATAACGAACCATGTAGATTAAGAAACAATTTTTAATCCGTTTTTTTAAATAAAATTTTTGTTATAGGCAGAAACGTAATATCACACCAATCACTTATGATGACGCTAATGGCAAGAAAAGCAACCCAAAGCAGGCTAGGACTTTGTACCAACCACCAAGTGGAAAGTTTAGTGACAAAGCAGGTGAGCATACATCTTATCATTAGTTTTACCTTCAGGTGATCATTAAAAGATGATTATTGATGTTCCTATCTTATAAAATATCAGTTGTTCCTTATTATTTTTTAATACTCAGAGCAATTTGTCATCCTCTCAAGATAACACCATATTTGTGTCTCAGAGCAATTAGTCATCCTCTCAAGATAACACCATATTTGTGTCTCAGAGCAATTAGTCATCCTCTCAAGATAACACCATATTTGTGTATATTACTGGCTTATAAGTTGGATGTATTAAAAAATCAAATGCCCCTTTAATTTTAATTGTAAATCTTCAGGTTCTTATACAAACTACAACAGAGGTGGTCGAGGCGGCCGTGCCAGAGGTGGGTTTAGAGGCAGAGGACAGAGAGGAGGAAGGGGCGGATTCTATCAAAACAAACTGTAGATTTGCCCTGTGACTTGAGCAGCTTGGACAATACTTCATCGCCCAGTGAAATATTATGTAACTAAAGAGAGCAAAAACTGTTGATTTTTATTGATGTACTTTGGATGGTTTTTCACATATTTTAATTCAATTTGGGTGATGTGATTGCTAAAACAAAATTTCACTCTCCTCTTGTTAAAAACGGCATGACAGAGATCAATTTTTGTCATAATATTTTAAACACCCTTTTGATGTATACTGTAAAGCTAGGGAATAGACCTGTCTGAAGATGACTTAAATAAATTGTAAACGTATCCTCCAATGGGATTCTTCATGCTATTCTGATGAGTTGTACACACTGCACCACAGCTAGGAATCCAGGAGATCTACAGACGTCTTCATCAATTGCCTGTTTGTTGAAGCAAAAAAAAAAATTAAAAATGCTGAACAATAAATGTTCCATCCAGATTTGATGAAAGAGAAGACCACCACGAATCAACGCATTTTTCTGATGGGTATCTAGGTAACGTGACAGTGTCCAAATTACACTCAGTCGTTTGATGATATGTCTCTTGACTGTGCCGCCAAAGGTAAGCCTGTGTTGATTAATGATTTGGTTTATTTTCTTTTTCAGGACCTCCAATGGAGAAAAAAAAGACCTCAGTCTGGATATTGCATGTATTGAACCTTAGACCGGGGAATTTTCAAGCATGTGCTTATATGACAAATATAAATATTTTTTTAGGTCTTTTTACACTAATTCCATACAAAAGAAATGTGTTTTAATCAATCAATTAATTAATTTTACATTTTTATTTCAGAAGGTTGGAACTTAAGCTTAAATTAAAATGTTTGGGTTTTTTGTTTTTTTTTAGGTCTGCTGAAGATGCATTTTTATAATGCCTTGTGCATAGGATTGTTAGTGTCCCCTTGCTTGGAACAATTATAGATATTATTAAGTCTCAAGACACCAACTCAAGAGCTGTACTTGTCCGTCTTAGCTCAATCAGAAGTCCTCTACCTGGCTATGCATCATTTTAACAAGTTTTTAAAAAACAAATATTATTTTTTAAAAATTTTCAGCAAAGATTTTAAAGGTACTGAAGGTTTGGGCTTCAAACTGTTAGATCACCTTAACTCATTCCCTACATTTGCTACTAAATGCGTCCTGGCGCGTCCTGACCGTCTCATGATATTTAAAAATTTTTTTTAATGAAATCATGACTCTTCCGAGACTTCCGGTGATTGCGTGATTTCAATATAGATAATCAGATGTTTTTAATCTTGTATCCCTTTCAATCTATGTCTGCTTTAGTAAGGTACATCTTTAATCTAGCTAGCATTTGTCCGTATTACCAAATATTTAAAATGTTTCCTAAACCGTATCCATTTCTGGATGCATGCATCTAGAATATAGATTTACGTGAAGAAGTAGCACAGCTGTGGGAAATGAGTTAATTTGGTTTTTGCAAAGTCTAGTCCATAAAACTTGTTTTAATACGCATTGATCCATCAGAAACTCAACTCAAAGTCATCCAGCTTTCTACTCTCCACAGGTGTCTTTTAACTGTCCATGTGTGAATTTGACAGCTGGATTCAGTCATTCTATATATATAAAAAAAATTATCTTTTGCAGAGATCGGTGAAAGCAAATGTTTATTTTTAGTTTATCCTTGGCCTTTAAAAAAAAAGATAATTTCTTTTAACCTTGAAATATGCTTCAACCTTTACAGTTCAATACACCTATGAGGCTGCAGATATTTTTTTTGTCCCTCACATTCATCAGGGATCATTTATTTTAACCTTGAAATATGCTTCAACCTTTACAGTTCAATACACCTGTGAGGCTGCAGATATTCTTTTGTCCCTCACGTTCATCAGTGATCACCAAAAGCGCAGCCATGTGTTATTTTCAGTTATCGGACAGCACTGTTCTTTGTGTATCTAAAAATGTCTGGGTAGCTTCTTTTCATCTATTGAGTGATCAATTCTTCTGAAATTATTTTTATAATTTACAAATAGCGACACAATCTCAGTGGATAAAAAAATTCATCAGAATTCATTCCTGTCTCAAGCAGAATTATTTCACTGGCTTTTTATTTCAGCACGGTGAAAATTTAGATTCAAGATATAGTGTGAATTGATTGGTATATATACTTGAGTAAAAGAGGTCTATTAGGATGATAAAGGATATATCTGCAAATTTCCTAATTTAAAGCATGCTGTGTTTTTATTATTATATTTGAATATGTCTTCATGAGCAAACATATTTTTTTGTAAATTAACAAATGATATACTTTTAAAAATAATCGTTTATGATTAAAAATAATCGTTTATGATGTCTTGTCATTTTTAAAAAGACAACGTTTCTATACAAATACAAGTTAATATGCAGGATTCAATAAATGTAACTTATAAGTGATAATTAGGTAAACAGCTAGATATATGATTTTATTGTTCAGTTTTTCTCCCAAAAATTAGTTTCATCCATACAAAAAAAAGATTCACTCTACAAGTGATCATGTCGGTGGTAGCAATCTTTAGGCATTTTTCTAGTTGACCTGAAATTTAATGTTTCCATTCAACTGTTACCCTTTGTTGCCATGGTGATTAAGGGTGTTTTTTTGCCAACTGTGTGACTAAATGTTCTTGTATTGTCACTGTCACCAAAAATGTTCATATTGAAGGGAATAATTTACTAATTTTTTTCCAATATTATCCCACAAGTCTTAGCGATTTAAAAAAAAATAGCATTTATTTCTAGATTTCATACAATGTAAACACATGACCCATACCATCACATGTGCACTTGTCTTAATGTAACTTAGACTAAACACCTGGCTCGGTACAGATCATTTCATTATTATTGTTTAGTAAAAATGTGATTGCTGGACTGCAGGTTTATGCTCTGTACAAATCCCAGTGGTAAACCAACTCAGTTTGATCAATGACTTGTCCACATTTATGTTCACTTAATGTTTTTTTTCTTTTTTTTTATTAAACTTGAAATACATTTTATTTAAAACAATTATGATTCATTGTCATTTAATCATGAGTGTACAGATGAGACAAAAGTTGAATTTGTTGAAATTTGTGTAAAATTAAAAGAATCTCATGATAGCTAATGACAGAGTAACTTTTATGTACAACTACAAGTTTCCACTAAATAGCTAAGGCTTTCATCAAAATGCAACTTCTGATATGTTGAAAATTAACAAAGATGAGAAAACCAGTGGTCATTTAACTAGAGGCTTACTATTTTAAGGCTTTTGACTACAATAGCAGTTATTATGTTAAAAAATAAGTTTCTTTACCACAATAGCAACCACTACGTGAGACATCAACAAATTTAACTGATAGTGAAAACAACATGTTCACTTATCAGTGATAAGTGATTGTCCAGCGAATGTTTTGATATTTTGCTATATGAGCATGCAAAACCATTAGCACAATGAATGGAACATAAAGCCATGAACTAATTGTGAAACCAGGTTTTGAATGTCAAGGTGAATATTATTTATTTTAAGACCCACTAATTCCCACCCATAAACCACTTTAAAAAACTGAACAAAATATAAGTACGGTACCGATACAAAAACCAATATCGTAATTTCAAATATACAAATCTATTGAAATTTAAATGTATTTTTATTATAAAGGTGGAACAAAAATGTGTATAGTATCTTAGCAATGGTATTCTGTTAAAAAATCTGTTTAAATTAAAGAAAATGTTACAACAATTTCTCTATTTGTTTTAGTTTCATTCTTAGAAGATAGCAATACCCTCCTTCCATCCCAGTGCCCAATGATTAGATCGTTTTTGACACTCTAAAACAATAAAATGACCATTCCTACTAATCTTTACAAGCTTGTACCTGTTCGCTAAAGAAGGCATTCTGCCAAGTTTCTGCAGACATGTTTGTTGTTTTGTTGCGTATTTTCGTTCAGGTTTTCTCGTACCTTGTTTTACATACTTCCTTCTACCCAACCTGAACATTGTCTCTCCCCCCTCATTATCAATTACTACTAGTACAGTTTTATAGTTAGTACAGTTTTATAGTTAACATTTGGACAAGGTGGATGCATGAATTCATCATTTGTGTCGCAAGCTTCGCTAATTTTGTTTCAAAAACTTTCACATGATCTATACAAATTTGTACACATGTACCCCACTGAATAAAAGTTATGATATTTCAATAGTTCATAACTTAACACTCAAGACTAAATAATATATACAATAAACAAAATTGCATATGCCTCCATTTTTATCAAAGTTAGATCTCTGGTTTGAACCTGATTTCACCTATAAAATAAATAAATCATTAAGGCATGATAGTGATAGCACTGAAGATTTATTTCTAAAAAAAATAGCCTTTGTGGCTCTAGCATGTGCCTCCCACATTGTTAGTGACATTTATTTTTGGAAATTTTGAATGACATTGGGACAAAAAGTGGAGGATGACAAGAAGTTAAAAGAGTAATTGCTAATGATAACCAGATTAATTGCATCAATGTACAGAATGGTCAAATAAATTTAATGAGAGTAAACTTTGCACTTTTAAAAAAAAGTTATTACTTTTCATGAAATCTAATTACCGGTACATTACAATGAATTTTTAAAATTCAATCTTTTGATCAGTTATGAAATACTAGTATGGTAGTTAAAAAATGTATTAGCCATGCTTTCTCCAGTGTAATATTTTAGTATCGCTGCAATATCCATTGTCATATTATTGATTTTATTTATGTTTAAGTTTAAGTAATTTTTATTTTGAAAACTGCAGGAATATATAAAATGTGGATTCTTAAATTTTAAGTCAACTTAGTTTTGGGACACCTTGCTGGATCACTGGCGTTGGAAGGTTGGGGCGGAGGGGACATTTTTTAAACATGTTGAGGGGCGCTGTTTTTTTCCAAATGAATTGGGTTTTTTTGTGGAAAGGGAACAGTAAAAATCTTGGCTCGCCCTATGTTTTACTAATCCTGACAATAAATACCAGATGGATCCAGGTGACGTTGGAGGCCTTAAGCCAGTGGTGGGCAACCTTTTTTCCAAAAAAGGCTACAGTTGTGGCGAAGGAAAATTAAAATTCACCACACTAAAATCATGAAATACTACTACGAAGGTCATACATAAATGTGAATGAGCTGTTTAATTAAATGTTTAACAAAATCGTTAGGCCAAAAAATATGCTTCACAACCGTGATATTTAATCAAACATTTGCCTGTGTATGACTCGATCACTAATTAAATCATGCCTGAAAGAAACACTGGCCATTACACTACTAGAAATCATAACTACTGGGCCATCTTTTTAAGTTACAGTTTTGCAAGAATAAATTGGGGATGAAACAATTATTTTTAAAATACTCATTTTTAATTGAGGACTAGCACTAGCATTGGATAAAATACAAATCTGAGCAGTCCTAGACAAATAACATCATTTCACAAGACTTAAATTAATATTAATGAATATTATAATACAAATTATTGTTACCAATATTAAAATTGATAAATTAATTTCTACTTTGGTCTAAAGCATTGCTTAAAATGTTAGCTGACTGGCACCAGTCAGTGAGCCCTTAGATGCTGGTCCATAAGAGGTTACAAAATTGAAGATTTCAAAAATATTTGAAAAGTCAATCAATTGAGCTCAAGTCCTAGCTGCAAAGTAGACTAACCCCTGCCAGACAGTCACATTGAAACACTGGTCTATTTATACCAGTTTAACTTACTTTAATTTAACCATCTTCATTGTCCATGACGCTCACTACCTTCTACTGCACCATTAATTTAGAACAAAAAAATCCATTTAATAGTTTTGTAGCCTCATGATGGCAGGCAATGCAGTTTGGGGTGGTTTCAAGGAATAAAAAGACCTGGCTGAACAAATGGCCCTATAGCCATTACTTGCTGGGGGTGCTGACTTGATTGTCCTGTAGCCTATTCTTGGCTGGCTAGCTGATCTAAGCGACCGAGCTGGAGGGATTGCATTGTTTTGGGGAAACGAATGTTGAACACGTTGCGAAATGGACCTGATAAGATCCCGTGTTTGTTTCAGATTGTATCCTGAGAAAAAGAGGATTTGACAGTAGATACTGATATTACAAAAAAATTACACAATGATATAACTGAAAATTGATAGCATATATATGTACAGTGGTTGAATTTAAAAAATTAAAAAATCTTGTAAAGCTTTTTCAAAATGAAATAGATATTTCATAAGGCCTATTTATTTTCCACTTTTGTTTTTAAAAATAATATTAAAAAATTTATTATCGGCAGTCATTTTTTCAAAAACTGCTAGAGGCTTTATTTCTTTTACAAAATTTATTAAAAAGCTTTGGTTTGTAAGAAAGAAAAATGTTCTAAATTACCTTTCAGTCTTGCAACAATGTCATCTGAAAAATATCCTGAGTTGATCCATTCCTCAAAGTCTTCAATATGATCAAATGCTGCATGTCCTACAGAGATACAATTATTAACAATTACTTGTTTTAAAGTTCACATCCTGCACACCCACTCGCTGTTGAAATCATTTATTATTTCCTCTCTCAATGAGAGTCTCACTGAGTAGAACCTATTATTTATTACTTTGTAAACATTACACTCCTGGAACATGGAGCAGGCCATTACACTCCATGGAGTGTAAAGCCATTCATGATGAAATATAATATTAATGTATAGCACTTGGAGAATTCTTAAATTTTAACATTTTAATATAATTATTGTCCTATTTTAACAATATCTACTTAACGCTCCTTTATTAAACCTAATTAAATTTAAAAATTAAATTTGATAAATGAAAATCCGTGATAAAATTCAGGGTCTCCATAAATAAACTAGAGACTGATAGACTAGCAACTCATCACTAGTACAACTTATAACATAAAGTGATTTTTTTTTTTAATTCAATTTTTTTTTTTCGTTAACCGAAGCAAAAAAAAAAAAAAAAAAGTGTGGGGAGGGGAGGGGGAGATAAATTTTGTTTATTCTATTTCTAACTATGAGCTGGTCAGTGCCTACCATAAATATTTTTCTGCCTCATGTTGGCTCCATTGTTGATGAGCAAACGTGCAGCCAAGGGATTGCTAGCTTTACATGCCATCATGAGGGGCGAGCTTCCTTCATTATTCAAGTGATCCACCTGGGCTCCAAATGCTAACAGTACCTCTAAAACATCAGTGGGTCCACTCAGCATAGTCGCTTGATGCAAAGTGCTGTTTCCATCCTCATAAACAGGATTAGCATCTGCTCCATTTTGTAGTAGGAATTTAATCGTATCCACACGAGAAGAACTACACAGAGTTTTAAAGAGAAAAGGTTAAAAAAAAGCAAAACAAACAATAAGGAGTAATGTGCATCTATTTCTGGAATTAATAAATGATTGTTCCATTAATTTTAGATGATATTGCTGTCTTAGGACCATCGACAATACAGTAAGGTGTCAATTTTCCAAACACTGATTATCTAAAATCTTGGCTATCTGAACAGCCCCTGTCTTTAATTATTACTATTATCATGTGCATGCACATGGCATGGAAAATAATTCCAATCCCTGCCACACAATCCTGGTAAAATCTAGACTGGGTTAATGCAGTCTGCAAACTTGTTCATTAATTTATATTGCAGAATACATTCTTGCAAAGATAAAGTAAGCAAAAGTCTTTTTTTTTTTAACTATCTCTTTTCGCAGGAAAAAATTACAGTCCTCACAGGTTTTTTTATATCAATCAACTGGTTTCTGTTCATAATCCCATATGGTTGATAAACTGTACAATAAAGCAATGTTTCTCATGTGGGTTATATAGCCCCCTCAGGGGCCACAGCCTATATCGTTGTGGGCCACAAGAACTTTGAAAAAGGACTTCATGTATATAAAAAGAACAGTTTCAACAAATTTTTATTATTATTAATAAAGTGGTCTTATATAGCGCGGTACCCCAGCCTAGGGCTAGGATCAGTGCGCTTCACATAAAAATTAGCAAAAAGAAAAAAAAAGAAACATGACATTAAAAAACAGCTTTGTAAAAATATTGACCTCCCCACCCAAGTACTATTTACCTCTGTCTAGCCATTGATGACACACAGCAGCATCAAGCATTTTTTATCAGTCAGAGAGTGGTGAGAATGAGTCGGAATAGTAGAGTTTGAAGAGATGTGGCTTGAGTGCAGTTTTGAAGGCTTGGATGGTTGGTATAGTGCAGATGTGTAATGGGAGAGAATTCCATTGTTTGGGGGCACAGAAAGAGAAAGATCGTTCACCGTATGTTTTAGTGCGTGTCTTGGGAACAGAAAGGATATATGTCTGCGGAGGTATGAATTTGTCGAAGGGGTGAATAAACAGCAGGAAGTTCCATAAGATAAGAAGGGCAGGAGCCAGAGAAAAAGTTGTGACAGAGAACAGACAGCTTGTAATCAATGCGTGTCTGTAAAGGGAGCCAATGAAGTGAGTGAAGTAGTGGAGTGGCGTGAAGTGATCATATTTCTTTGCCTTTAGAACTAACCTAGCAGCTGAGTTACAGGCCATAGAGCTAAATGTAATATTTAAAGTGGGCTACAAGCAAAAAACAGGTAAGAAATGCTGCAATAAAGCACTAAATGGATATTTTATATTATAAAGTACAAATATTTTGTTTTCTTTGCACTAACTTCTTAGTACAATCTTTCTGTGGCAGTATCATCAGTATTCATTTATCTGTAAAATTTGCTATCAGAAACTTCCCCATCCCAATTATCTAAGCAAATCCATGCTCTCTTCAAATGACCATTATTGAAAACAAATTAAAAACAACAAGGAATCATTTTGACCTTCTTAAACTGTATTTTATGCTACCCATTTATAAATGACACTGGAACCAAAATCTTACACTTTAATTTTTTCCATTAAAATTTTATGAAGCAAAACATCTTGTTCCTTCTCTTTGAAGTTAAAACCTTCCTGAATCAACCTGAAAGGATAAACATATCTCTGGTGTTTAAAATCAAAGAACACATTTTACTTATTTTGGGAAACTGAGCTTCTTTTTGTTTTTTAAACTTCTTTGAATAATTTTATAAACATATCTCTACTTTAATTAAAAATCTGTCCAAATTTAAAAAAAAAAAAGATAGTGTAATCTATTAGATGTCCTAATTTAAACACAGGGACAGTAGAAATAAAAATGAATTCTGGATTATAAAGTCTTAGTGGTGAATAGATTGCAATGTAATCCCAACATAATAAGCCCTGCTCACCACTGGGCACAATTTAAAAAGTTGTTTGCTACGGCCAGATAAAGAAGACTCGGGGGGCTGTCTGTCGTCTCTTCATGGCAGTTTTTCAAGATGGTTTGATCCTTGTCACTGCCTAACAGAACTGCAGCAGCGTCAACACGACCTTGCATTATGCAGCAGTGGATGGGCAGGAGATTCTGCAGGAAATAATAAGAACATAAATATTTATATTTTTACAATTTTGAATAGGTGTCTTCCTTGAATGATGTCCAACATCTAAAGAGGGGGGGTTGGGGGGGGGGGGTGTTTTACACATATTTTTGTTGATGTATGGTCAGAGTGTATTTTTTATTATGATGATTTGTGATGCTGGGGGGTGTAAAAAATTGGTTAAAAAAAGAATGACAAAAATTTTGATTGCCCTTGATAGTTCAAATAAGGAACACAAAGACATTGATTTAAAATGTTCTCATTTTTCTTGAATCCTAATTCAAACTTCTGAATTCCTATCACAGGAACAGAATTTTGCTACTTGCTACTAATATTAGAATGCTATGAGACAACAGTACAAAAAATGGAGTTAAAAATCACATTACTGATATAGCCCTGAAAAGTAACTTAAGCATTGATTCTTTACAAACATATTCTTAATTTTGTTACAATTTCTTTTTAAAAAAGCATAAAAAAAAAAAAATTTACTTTCTTATTCCTTTTCAAAACACTAGCACCCCATTCAAGGAGTAAACTAATACACTTGAGGTCTGTTGGTCTGTCTATCTCCCCGTAGCATTTGGTGTGTAAGCAGGTATTCCCTTCGGCATCTTCAACCCCAACCTCAGCACCATTTTCCAAGAGCAGCTGAATATTCCAGAACAAAGGGTCATAGCAAGTAGAAACTTAACCTCAATACGCAAAGGAGGATTTTAAATTTTTTTTAAATTATTGAAAAAAAAAAAATATTTTATATATTTTCAAAATATGATTAATTTTTTATAATATAATTAATTTTTCTTCAAATTGTAAAATGTTGCAAAATAAGTTATACATCATAAAATAGGCCTCTGTGTTACCAGCAATGTTTCATGGTCTTTTGCCCTTTGCAAGGGTGTTGCTCCTTTAAAATCTTTTAAATTAACATTGACTTTCATCTGCAGCAAACTGCTGATGCTGTTATGGTAACCATAGAAACTGGCCGTATGCAGTAAGGTACTTCCATTTATACACCTGAAGCAATAAACATGGCTTTTTATTAATCAGACATTTTAAATGAATTTCAAGTTATCAATAAACTGAGAACATGTTATTTGAGAACACTGAATGGGTGGGGGGGTGGGGGGTGTTAAAACATAAGCTACCGTATCTATTTTGGTGCAGGTCAAAGGAATTTCATGTTAAATTAAAAAACTATATATTAGATTTTTTGAAAATTTTATCATTTTTCTTTTCCCATGAATATCCATAATAATTTGGTATATGCACCAATAATCATTGTAAACTTGATTTTAAAAAAATCAACCTTTTTCTTTTAAACAAAGGAAAAGGTAAATTGAAAGGTGATTTAAATACTGACCTGCTGTGGAGTGAACAAAATTGTCTTTCCCCACTTCGGTGGTCTCTGATTGCTTGTTCCATCACCTCCTTACTTCCTTTCATTATCTTTGGCACTGTTGCGGAATAGTGTTCATACAAGTCTGAAGCAGAAAAAAAATATGTATAGACTCTAGGCCAACTAATGTGGTTTGTATGATTAAATTCACAGACTTCATAAACAATATTGTATTTTTAAATTGAGCTGTCTTATAAGTGACCTTGAATTCCAACACTATTTTATGTAAAAGAATGGAAGAATATTTGTATTTTGTACGTACCAACAAGAAATTGACGGAATTCATCATTCTTCACTGCTTCAAATGGAGAAAGTCCTTTTAAATTTCTGCAGTGCACATCGCAGCCCCATTCCAACAATAACTGGAAGGGAGGAAAAAAATGTATTATTTTTAAGTAAACAGTATACAAAAACTAAGCAATAATTTGAAAGCATTAGAGGATATTGAGAGATTTCTGTTATTGTTATTTACAGGGCCATTTTAAAGTTTTTAGCAATGTTTTACACCCCCCAGGCAAGAATTGAAAACTGCCGCCCCTCACCCTTTTACTACCAACACACTCTCCCCCTGTCATCCTATCTAGAAGAATTCATGAATTAGATACACTTTGATGCATTTGACAACCCAAAATTTTTAAGGAATAATAAAGAATTTTTTTTCCCGTGTACTTCATGTATGGTCCATTAACCCCAATTTTACTAATTGAATTCCATAATTCAGCATTAAAACCTGATTAATCATGTAAAATTCAGAACAGTGCATGCCACTTACCATAAATATATAACATTAAACCCAGCTGTCACTCTATTTTTTGTCGCAAGTGAATAACAATAATTTGGGGAACACTATAAACATTTCTTTCATGAGCATTGTCTATAACTCCCGTAACTTAGCTTGGGTTTATATAATGGGTTTAGGGTGCATTTTATAGGAAAGTTAATGTCTTTTAAGCCACAAAATACAGAATATTAATCTGCTCTAATAATAAAACAATATATCTGTTAATGTGTTAATGTAATTTCAGATTTTTTTTTCAAACTTATATCTTATTTTATTGATTGTAAATGTTTTGGTATAGGTAGCACAGGATGAAATCACAAGGCAAAGGATTTTTGTTAGGAGAATAAGCGGGTTCCCTATTCAGCTAATCCCCTCTCTTGATAATCGAAGGGAAAATCAAGTGGGGATGATACAGCTTGCCATCCAAGGTTAACGAGTCCCATCCACCCTGGGTGCTTGTCTGGGTATTGCTTGGGGATTGAATTCCATGGTGACTTATGTAAACAGAGAGAACAAATTATGTTATAAAGCTTACATGAGCAATTGGTTTCTGTAAACCTTCAATGGCAGAGAAAATTGGTGTGCATTTTGAATTATCTTTAGCATCAATATTTGCACCATTTTCAAGGAGTAGTTGAACTATGTCCTGTATCAAAGTGAAAAGAAAGCATACTGGTATATTTAATTTTGCCCAGATATATAAATAAAAAGAATGTAAAATGTTATGAACACAATAATACAATATATATTTTTATATTCAACACACATTTTTACTTTCCTTTTTTTTGTAATATAAGTCATAAACTTATATCTTGATGATGATATGCAATCTTTAAAAAAAAATTGATTTTGGTCAAATATTGAACACATTATTGCAAATATTGCAAAGTAACTATTTATCAATTCTACTTTTACTCTCCATAAAAACCATAAGCAATTTTTGTTCATGGGAAAAAACGCATTTTACAAATCTTACAAAATGCCCATGTCTGGCGGCCATATGTAAAGCTGTTTGACCAGTCTTTGTATCTCTGGAATTGATGAATGAGAAATCACTGGGGAAAAATTGCACCATTCTTTCAACTCTATCCAGTTCATTTTCTCTGGCAGCCTTAATAAACATGTGCTCCCAGCTCAAAGAGTTGCCAGGAAACACTTGGTACAGGAAGATGCTGCCAGCTTTCAAATATTTGTTGCGACTCAAAGCTTCAAAATAAAACTGAAACACGACAAGAAAGTCTACCAGTTAAATATAGGCTTTACATAAACAAAAACTTAGTACATAATATTTTACTAGATTTGTTTTTCTGGGTTGTTATTTTCATTATGTCATAAAAGTCCCTCAAAATTACTAAAAACTCATGCCATACATCAGCAATAATACCTTTATAATAGTTGATAAATGAGATACTGAGGATGGAAATATTAATTTTTAAAAAAAGAAGCCTTAATTAAAATGGAAATTCATAAAGTATAACATCTCTCATATTGTGTGTCAGTATTTTCAACTTCAGCATACTGTATTATTTTTTATTTAGTAACTGTCTAATAAGCATTTATTTGTAAGGATTATCTCCCATAGCTTTGTTTTCCTTTGATTGGGTAAGGTGGGGTGGGTGTAAGAAATTAGTGTGGTTGGGGGGGGGTGATGGGGGGTGTGTGGGTGAGTTGCATTCCTTGGCTGAGATTATTTCTGGCTGTCCTGTGATTTAAATCCCTGATCACCAATAAAGTTGTATTGTATCCTACTGACTACCACCCAATGTAAACCTCCACCCACTTCCTTTCTTTTTTGCCACATCGAAAAGTGAAAGACAGTTATTCCTTTTTTATTATTTTTAAAAAATTATCTGTTTCTCAATTTTGAAAGAATTCTTTAAAAAATTGGGTAATTATGTTCAAGCCATGTTGACAGTGCAAAATAATTTCTAGCCGGTGTTCAGTTGTAAGCATTATACCAGTACAAGCTCTGGGCCTGGCTTTATACACAATTCTATACCAAAATTATTCCACACAAAATCCATAATTAGCAAGGTCATCAAAATGTACACTGATAGAATATATATATATACCTACATCATACTTGGGATAATTTTTTGGATTGATATCCACGGGAGCTGTTTTGGTAATGCCAAGTAACTGTTTGATTGACACTTGATGAAGAAGAAAGAGAAAATAATGTGCTTACTTTAAAGTCCTTACAGGAGTTCATTTTTGGATTATTTCTACCCCAGAGAAAAATTTCAGATGTCTGGTGTTTTAATTGTTATGATTTGTAAAAATTTTTCTTGGTTTAAATATATATTTATTTATATATTTATTTATAAGCTGGAAATGAATATGTACAATGCAGACCTGTTTACTCTTACGATTTTGGCGTACAATGTACGATTTTAAGATGTATACATTATATATACTGCATGTTTATTTTTTACTATTAAGATCATGTACTGAACGATTTTGTGATGATATTGTACGATTTTAAGAGTTTAAGGGTAAACAGGTCTGACAATGTAATAAAAAAAAAATCCATTAATTTGGATCAATAAAAGTATCTTATCTTCCCGAAAATATTTACAAATAATAAATAGCAATGTGATGTTTTTATTGAGCTTAAAGTTAATTCACAATTCCTCTCAAGCCTGAAATTGAAAAGAATTCAAAAAGGCTGTTGGATGAGCTGCACTCCATTGTTTATTGCCATGTGCTTCACAGAACTAACAATGATCTCATAAATACTAGAGAAATCTTAACTTCATTTTATGGTATAATTTAGAGAATAGAACAAACAGGAACTTTTACATTTGTTTTTTGAGGTAAAGTCATCAATGAACTCTCCAGTTTCCTTAACTTTTAGTACCAGGCGACGGCCATCTGTTAGGGTTTCACATGCTTCAGAGAGGTAGAATCCAGACCCTTTAGAAAGACTCTGCAAGTGTAAAGCAGAGTATGTTACATTTACAAATAATAGTTGTTCTTAAATGGGATATTGTTTCTTCTATTGTCACTAGATCAGCCACAACAAAACCAAACCTCATGAAATTACTAAAAGTTCATCTAGTGTAACAATCTCAATATTTTATTGATAAATGTATACGGTTAAATTATTGAATCTTTTGTTGCAGTCTTTCACAATTCAGGACAAAATTGATTTAGTACACTCCATTAATTACCAATGACGAATGTTATCTGGATGAGCAGAAAGAAAGAAATAGACTGTTTTAAATTTATTTTGTACAACATGCAGGGGGTCTAGTTCTAAACTGTAGTGCTGCGAGACAATGACAGGTGAGCCAAGCACAAAGTATATGTAGGTACATAAATAATCCTTGTCACTACAAAGGGGACATTGTTGACAAGCTGTCAAAGTCTGGTAAACAGAAATGTGTCCAGTACAGACAGTCAATATGAAACAATGCACTGTAAGATAATAAATTTCAGCATTACACGGCATAATAAACGTTAACTACATGTGTTATTAAATATATTTTTGCATGCTTTTACTTGTGGCGTGCTGCAGAATTCTTGGAAAGTCCTTAGGTGTGCCATGAGTGAATTTTTTTTTTTTACATAGTTCTAGCCTAGGTCATTGACAAATTATAGTAAAACAAAAAGAAATGTAAGTGCTTTTAAAGAGTGAAATAATTGTTTTGATAATCTCACCAGGTTAATAACATATGAAAGGCACAAGTCACTGATGGTGATGTTTCTTGGAACTGTGACACAATCAAACTTTCTCACCATGAAATCTTTAACATATTTCCTGACCTAATAAATTGTGGTTAATATTAAAAATAAAATGTAACATTTTTATTATCAAAAATAAATTTAAATATCTGTCTGATTTAAGTATGTTAAATTGGTAACATTGTTTTAATTAATTCACAAAAAAACAAACTATTAAAATATTCACTTATGTAAAAAAAGCTCATTCCAAATACCGTACAAGAATAATTTTTTTTAAAATAATTTCAGTAACGCCCATATATCACAAATCCTTGCTAAAGGTATTTAACAAACATTTTAGCTTTTCCCAAGCTTAACACACACATCAATACAATTCCTCTCTTGCAGTAAATTGTATATGATTAAAAATATTACAATTTAATAAAAAATGTGGATTGTAGGTTGTTTTTTTAATTTTTTAAATGTTATTTTCTTTATTAAGTATTTAGATTATAATGTTACATTTGTATTAACTAACTAATTGTTATATTTTGACTGTTGGATGGACCAGTCCCCTAGTAATATTCAAACGTACCTCAAGTTGAATGCTATGTACATGTTTTACCCACTGTGTACAGTATTTAATATCAAAATGATGAGCCAAACTGTCAATTTCTGAAGGAAAAAAAAATGATATTGTTTAAGATATAGAAAAAAACTCCTTCATTAAAAATACTTATTTTATAAAGTTACATTTCCAAATTACACCACCATAACAAAAAATGTACATTCCTTTAGCCTATACATTATTAATTATTAAAGCCATTAGTGTAAAAAAATAAAGTTGTAAAATATACATAAAAGTCAATTACCCTCTTTCAAATGTTCAATTTGTGACTTTAGGTCTTTTCTTAGCTGAAGCTCTTGTGCATTAGATACTATGGTAGGACACTTCTGCAAAGTTTTACTGTTCTCTTGGAGTAAATTTTGAAGTATCTCCTGGGGTGATAGTGAAAAGAATGAGATCAATAGACATTGACGTGGGACAATCAAGAAGTTAATCAATAGACACTGACATGTGGCAACCAAGAATGTGATCAATAGACAGTGAAATGGAGCAATCAAGAATGTGATCAATAGACACTGACATGGGGCAACCGAGAATGTGATCAATAGACAGTGAAATGGAGCAACCAAGAATGTGATCAATAGACACTGACATGGCAAAACCAAGACTGGATCAACAGACATAAACATGGGGCAACCAAGACTGGATCAATAGAATTAACATGGGGCAAACAAGAATGTGATCAATAGACAGTGACATGGGGCAACCAAGAAGGTGATCAATAGACACTGACATGTAGCAACCAAGAATGAGATCAATAGACACTGACATGGGGCAAAAAAAGAATGTGATCATTAGATAATAATAATAATAATAAAGATTATTTAAAAATCACGCTTCATCCCCAAAGGCTCGAAGCGTGGTACATACCACATTGAAGTTTAAAATTCAACATTACAAAACTACATAACAAGAATACCCATTCTAAGTCTTTCATATCTTGCAACCATAAACAACACAGGCCAATATACATCTAAAAGATAATAGCTAGATAGTCAACATCACCCCAGCAGGTATTTGCGAAAAAGGTAAGTCTTCAAATCAGTTTTGAAAGACTCCAGTGTCTGGCTGTTTCTGATAGCGACAGGCAGGGTGTTCCAAATTGTTGGGCCAGCAAATGCTAAAGTGCTCCCTTGTAAGTCTCAAGGCAAACATGTGGTATAGAGAGTTTGCCACTATCAGATGAGCGGAGTTGTCTAGTGGGTACATAGGGTCTTCACGTAGGTGTCGGTGGTGGAAGCAAAATAACAGTTTGTGTCGACACTGGGCAACCAAAAAGGTGATCAATAGACACTGACATGCGGCGAACAAGAATGTGATCAATAGACACTGACATGCGCCGAACAAGAATGTGATCAATAGACACTGACATGGGGCAAACAAGAATGTGATCAATAGACACTGACATGGGGCAAACAAGAATGTGATCAATAGACACTGACATGGGGCAAATAAGAATTTGATCAACAGACACTGACATGGGGCAAAAAAGAATGTGATCAATAGACACTGACATGGGGCAAAAAAGAATGTGATCAATAGACACTGACATGCGGCGAACAAGAATGTGATCAATAGACACTGACATGGGGCAAACAAGAATGTGATCAATGGACACTGACATGGGGCAAATAAGAATTTGATCAACAGACACTGACATGGGGCAAAAAAGAATGTGATCAATAGACACTGACATGGGGCAAACAAGAATGTGATCAACAGACACTGACATGGGGCAAATAAGAATTTAATCAACAGACACTGACATGGGGCAAAAAAGAATGTGATCAATAGACACTGACATGGGGCAAACAAGAATGTGATCAATAGACACTGACATGGGGCAAAAAAGAATGTGAACATTAGACAAGAATGATTTATTTCACAACGCTTACAATGACATGTACAGGAGGAGAGAAGATGGCCAAAGAATACATGGAGCTAGAGCCATCACACAAAGTATGGGATACACCTGGGAGCACGTAGGAAGGAAGCACAGGATCAAGATGAATGGGAAAACTCTTGCAGACGGCCTATCTTCCGGGTGTGGTAAAAGGCGTAAGGAAGTCAATTGTATATGAATAAGTACTTACATTTTTTGATGCAACCATTTGACACTGCCTGTACTTGAATGCCACCATGAAGAGAAATGTAAAATATGATGTAACTGCCATGCCGTCTGCCTTGAAATAACAAACATATTTGAAAATAATGCATTATGGGATTTTTCTTGTAATGCTTTTCCTGAAATTAAATCTATTTTTCAAAATTAAATTTCAACACTTGAATTTTATCAGAGTTGAATCCAAATTGGATGTCACATAGTTAAGTTGGGTTGTCAACTTTGTGACCTAGCGGAATGATGGGGAATTATATTTAGATGAGTCAGAGAGAGAGAAGGAGAGAGAACAAAGAGAAAGGATGCTGAGATAAAATAATTTGAAGAATCTGGTACAGATAGATATTGTAACATCAATAGATGAGTCTGTAACATCAATAGATGAGTCACAGTTTTAAAGATTTAAGAATAAATTTATTCAGTTTTTATCTTTTTAAAATTACTGACTTCCGCCAAATCCTCTGAACTGAATGGGGTGTCAGCATAGAGCATTTTTTCTGCTGTCCTCAAAACTAAGTTGACTGTCCACCTGAAACAATAGCCATTTTTAAAAGATAAAAGCCCTCTCACAACATATGCTACTTTAACACAGTATAGTCCTACATACTGGAATAGTAATGACCCGACATTAAAATAAACAGATCTTAAAAATGTGTATGTGAAAATAATAGCTTTACTTAGGCCTAATTTTCTTCTTCTTCTTTATTTCTTCTTCTTCTTTATTTTAAGGGCACACGATCAATGAATTGATCATTCTGGCTCCTATGTTTCAGAGGGGTTTGCGATGTTACTGTCCATGGGTTTCAATGGGATGCTTCACTGGTTGCAAGGGCGACTCAGCAGTGGTGTTATGAACTGGGGGTTGGAATGCAGGAGGCAATAGACACAAATGTCTCGAGTGTAGCCGCCTCAACTGTTGCTTTTGGAAGCTTGTTCCAGTCCCCTATTGTCTTCGGCAGGAATTTTCAATTTTGCAGTGAAGCTGAGATAATACTTTATTTGCGTGAACTAAAGATGCTAAAGTAAGTTAATGTTTAAGCGTGTAAAAAAAAAAAAATACTAATAAAGATTAAATTCTTGATCTCCCAACAATTTTACCTCACAGGTTTATTTTACAGGTTAATAATATGCAACATAAATTAAATTACCTGTCATTCAGTAGCAAATCTGTCGTAAATGTGTTTGGCACAAATGAATTCACCAAAGCGCATAAAACTCGACTGTCAACAAGGTCATCCAAACTCTTTTTAAAAATAATAATTTAAAAACAGTTAATATCAGATCTTGTTTTAAACTTCTGATATTTTATAAACGTCTCCAATAGTTAATGTGACAGTGACAATTGTATTCCTTCAATGCAACATTGGTGCAGAGCTTTTTGCTTTTGTTTGTGATGGTAGCTAAGTAGTGACAGTGGTTCTTCTGCATAAATCTAAGATGAATTAATATTTGAAACTTTTATTTAATATAAAATTATATCAGTCTTTGTCTCTGAGAGTGTAAAAATGGATTGTTCAAAATCCTCCTTGTCGAATGGTCATGGACAGATAACAGTAACTAAATTGGGCCACTAGTACTTACATAGCATGCTAGTTTTTTGCCTTCACTAGTTTTCTGAAAATTTTAAGGACATCAAATGAATTGAATTCTTTTACATTGTTGATTTTATGACTAAATAAATTTAGCAAAATGCTTTTTATCAAAAATAAAATTAAAGCATTATAATTTGGCTTTTTTTTGCCGGTAACACACAAAAAAAAAACCCAATGAAATGACACATGTAAAGTATTACCAATGTTTTAAAAAAGATTAAATTTTGTGATTGAACATACCTTTAGCTGAGTATTTATAATCTCTAAAATGCATGCTTCAGGGGATGGGTATTTGTCAGGATCTTTTCTTTTTTGCTTAAAATTTTTCATGAATTCAGAATTGGGAAATTTTATCCAATTGGACTCTGGTTCAGTCTGCTGCAATTTAAAATTAAATAATTAGGGCAGATCTATTTTTTTTAAACAATCTTATTTAAAAACATTACAAATGTTTAAAGTTTTTTTTGAAGCAACCACAAAAAATGTAGTTTTATATCAGCAAAAAATCGTCAGCAACATTTATGTATTAATAACATCTCAATGCTTACATTGTCATTTTTGTTCTCCACAAATGCAGATGCACCAAAACCTGATAATAAAGACTTTTTAAGATTCTTTTTCTTTTTATGAGGTGGAGGATCTGGTGTCCACTATAAAATAGGAAGAATTTTAACTGCAAAACTGCAACAATAAATTTTTGCAACAAAATTCTATATTCTAAATCAGGGGTTTTCAAACTTTAACAACAGCCAACTGGTATAAAAAGAAATAGAAATAATTTAGGACCACTACTTGCCACTGGGACTTGATTTGTATGGTATTTGGTTGGTTACTTTTTAAAAACTAATTTTAAGAGTTTACTGTAGTTGGTTAAAATAAATGGAAATCAAGAAATACACAAAAATTATTGTGACAGAACATCTTTAACTTTTGAGAGGCCAGTATTTATTCATGTCAAGTTAATGTCACATTGTCTGCATGATACAGGCATATCATGTGTAAACCAACTGATTCTTTTTCACAGACCGAGGGAAATTTCTTCTTAAAATCATCATTGTTTACAAAATAATTAACTATCATTAGCTTGGAGCCAACAAACAAAATAAAGAAACCTATGTTGAAATAATTTAATATTAGTTAGTCCGAAAAAAGCGAAATTCATAGCAGAATTACCTTAAAGGGGACTTGCGTTATAACATCTGGGTCATCTTGCTGTAAGAATTCAACTCTTTCCCACAGAAACCAAATATCATGGCTGATCAGCCTCCACAATAAATCAAAAACCTATTTAAAAATGAATAATTTTTCTTTAAAATTATTCTTGCCATGATTGATATAAAAAAAATAATTTCTGTTCAAGAAAAAAATCAACTTATGTAATTTTATTGTTGTACAACTTAGGCTTGAAAGAAAGAAAAACAACATAAAAATAATAAAAAACTCACTTGATCTGAGCTTCTCATTGCAAACAATCGAGAATCCACATACGCATCTTGAGGTAAAACATCACATTTCTTTAGCTCATCAACCACCCAGTTCACCCTGGTCTGAACTTGTTGAGTGGTCAAGCTGAATTAAGGCCAAAAAAACCCTAATTGTACATAATATTATACACAAAGATGACATGGAAAATTAAATAGGAATTGTAATGAAAAAAATAATGATCAAATGAACATGGATTTAGGCTAATGAAAAAGGATTTATCTATACAATTTATCAAGATAAATTGATATAATAAAAAAATAATCAATTCTGAATTTTAAGTTGGTAATTACTGGTAAAAAAAATTCTTAATATTAATATGTGAGAAATTAACAGATATAATGAATTCCATGTAAAAGTCGACACAACATCCTAAAATTAAATGTCATAAAATTTGGTGCTATAAATATATATGGTGTCATTTTTAGTATCTTTGTTTGTGTGCCACATGAACTTTTGGCCATCTAGAATTAATAAAATATTCTCTGCACATTTTAATAAAAAATTTTGTTGAATTTTATTGAGTTTACATTTTCATTGTTATGGTCAATGTCACCTGATGGACAATCATGGCAATACTGTTATTTATGTTTATTTAAGTTCATTTAAGTTTATTCAACTGCTAATGTGTAATTCTGAAAAGAATTGACATTGTTGTTCTATTTTTGATTGCTTGCATTCAGACGTGTTACTTCAATTAAAAAGTCATATTACGCCAATTACATTATTTTGTCTGTATGTTTTTAAAATGAGCTTGCTCAGAAGATTTTAAAAGTTTTCATTAGAAAAATTTAACAGATAATTAGGTTTGAAATAATGTATGTCAGCAAAAGCAGATTTCAGAAGAAATCAGCAAAAAAGATGCTAACTCAAATATTATGTCTTTTTCATTTTAAATCATTTAAAATTCCAAAATTATGATTAATATATGTTTAAAAATGCTATTGTTTTACTGTCTAACAACTTAAGACCCTAAACAATGAATAGTTATATTAAGCTCTTTGATCTTTTAGGCATTCTTTTTAAAGAAACTGTCAACAGCTAAGAGACCACAAATGACAAATGAGTGATTCAAACAAATTCTTTATTAGGATTCACATAAATTGCTAAATAATTATAGGACAGCATTGGCATTTTTGAGTATCCTACAACAATGTGTCTATTTGATAGGGCCAGAAGGATGAAAAATATTTGGGTTAAAAAAAAAAGGTTAAATTTATTAATATTGGATTACTGTGGAACTACTGGCCCCCAATTCCCTTTCTGATTATTTACATCTACTCTAGCCTGGGTATATGACATACAGCTGAGAAATTAAGAAAAAATGATGAACATTTTTACCCATCCATGTTATCAACTCTTTGAATATCTCTCCCTGTGATACTTTTAACAAGATATTTCATTCCTGTTCCAGTCAATAAATCCATCAAAACATTCGACATGAGGTGGTCATATGGCAATAGGCGAAAATTAACCCATGCTGTCATGCCACGAATTTTTGTTCTCATGGACATTGTTCAAGTTTGAAATTGTTGTATTTATAGTTGTGTATAGTATAGTTATGAAATCTGTGTAATTTGTTCCTTTTAAAGTTAATAAGTTAAAGTGGAATCTTTAAATCTATGCTCACTCTTTGCAATCGGTACTTGATAAATAATATTTTTATTCTGTATTATAATTATGCATAGACACTATTTGAATTAATTATTGGCCAATATTGCCAATATTGGAATGGAATACTACAGGCCAAGAAGGCATCTAAATCTATATGTCTATACCATAAAATATACTATACATCTGTAAAATATAGACTATAGTAATAATCAGTAGGCCTCCACTGCAGTCTATTGCTATTACTACTATTTTATTATAAATTATTATGATTATTTATAATTAAGTAGGCAGGACCAGGTAGATGGCAGAGAATACAGTTATTTGTAATTAGCTATTGGTGCAGTTCTCATTTAGCTTGAAACTAAGACAGCAAATTAAACCAATCGTCTGTACATCATGTCATAATGTCTAATGTCAATAGCAGTTGTTCTTGTTTTTATTTTATATGTGGACAGATCCCGAATCAGCAAAATTGAAAAATCGTAGCCATTTGTAAACAAAATTGGTCGTACCCACAATTCATTTAAAAAAAAAAAAAAACTATTCATACAAAAGTTTTATTTCATCAGGCAATCTATTATTTTTATCGTTTTTAATTTTCTGCTGTATCATTTGATTCAAATAAAATTCAGTTTCTACTTATTTAAATTACTTTCAAATATAAATATAGGATTGACATTTAGAGTGTAGTCAATAATTAAGATGTAAATTACATAATACTATATTTGCGTTTACTTAGTATAATTTATAAATCAATTATCAACTTTCGTACCTATAGACAACAAGTGGAGACAACAGTTATTACGCGGAATATTTGCAGGAAGAAATGGAAAAATTTGGCATAAAAATTTATAAAACTAAGTAATAATGGGAACAGACGGCGATACGAATCAAGATGTATCGCGTAATGATGTATTCAAAGGTGTCACTTATTATATAGTTGGAAACATAAGCGATAAGGTACTAATTTTATTCTACGCCTTAAAACTTCAAAGTCAAAGCCACCAGTCACCAGTACTGTACTATTTTATTATTTTAGGGTTTAGGTAACCCTATTTTAACCTGATCCACTATTACTTTTTTTTAAAAGTTTCTAATGTCAATTGAATACATAACATTAACTTTAACAACTAACTTCAATCAATATAAATATACACAATAAATGAAGATACTAATACTACATTAGTAGGACTCCTTGAACATGAAAAACAATAAACAAACAGACCCTAACTTGGCCCTAACAGAGTTATTAGGTATTTGAACTTCAATAAAAAATCTCACAATAATTTTTTAAATGTTACAGTTATTTAGAGCAAATTTCTTATAAAAAATTAAACCTGAATCAACTTTTTAGCTTAAGTCTTAAGTACTTTTTGAGCTACGAATTTTTAAAGTGTGAGTTTGTTAGGTATTTTTACTATGAACCATGGATGAAACCTCCATGATGTGGTCCACATCTTGTGACCTCATTCCGCTGATCGCGTCATGCACAATGACTATATAGTTAATATAAGGCGACGCATCCCCTTATCACTAAAATACTGTTTAGGGTCGACTTAGTTTAAACTTTCAACTTTTGGCACATGAATAATATATTAAAGCTTTGCTGACCAATGGTTTAATAGTTTTTGCACACCGCAAACTCTAATGAATGAAACTCTGAGATAGTACTACGATATAGCCGTTATGCAAGTGGCTGTGAATGGTTGCCAATGACAACGTATTGCACACAGAAAATTCTGATCAGTTATAATATGGACTCGACCAGGTTTTTCAAGCTCAAATTAAAACAGTCCAGTTTAAATTTTAAATGTCTTCAAAAGGCATTCTGAAACACAAGTTATCAAATATTTTGATGTAAATAGTGGTAATAATTTAATATTTTCTAAGTATCTGCAACTTCTGCCATTAAAAAGGGGGCGTGGTCACATCCATTGAATTTGGATTAAGCGAACTGCATGACCTGCTGCGAACCCCTAGAAACATGGCGTCTCTTGTATAACACATAGCGCTGTGAAAATTGGCATACATGTAAATCAATACATGCCCAAGATGCATACAAAATTTGGTAGTGTCATATCTTTTACTTTGACTAAATTTTAATGATGAAAGTTGCCTTATAATCACCAATGATTTTCTCAAAACTGACTGATTGTAAATAAAAAAGAAATTGATTAAAATGTAGGCCAAGATTTCCTCTAAAGCGAAAGGCCAGAAGAGGAACACAATTCTGGGATATAGTAATTATTTTATGAATGAAATAGTACCAACATCAAAAATTTAAAAACTCGGATTTTTGTGAGCCGACGCCTATTTCCAATACAAATTTTTTAGTAGTTATAAATTATCCAACTTCATTTGATAGGTACTTTGGTAAAAGAAAAAATTAAAATTTGTAAAAATAAACTAATGGCTTATTTGAATAGAGCTAATTTTTTTACACAATTATAACACCAAAATCATATTTTTTAGCTATTGTACTTTTAAAGTCATTAATTTTTAAAGTACAACTTCGTTTATCCTTTTTTATCTCCATATTCTGTGACCCAATTCCGCTGTTTGTATCAGGAGCTATATAACTCTTGTTTTTAATGATAATTTTATGCGACTTATTTTCAGAACTAATGTTGTAATCAGTAAATTTAATATAATGTATTAATATATGGCTTTTCTGTTTACCTAATCTATTGCGTACATTATACTATATATGCTCTATAGCAGGCCTGCACAACATACGGCCCGTGGGCCACATGTGGCCTGCAAGCACCCACTTGGCGGCCCGCGAAGTAACAAAATATTCTCTATTATTATTAATTTCTAATAGCTTTCGGCCCTGTCCTGTTATCTTTTTGCCCGCACAAGTTTTTCATTAAGTATTACGGCCCGCTCAAGTTTTTCATAACGCATTACGGTCCGCCGTACACTTTGAGTAGTGCAGGCCTGCTCTGTAGTCTATTATGCAAGGCAACGCATGTCCTAATTAATAAAATACTGTTTGGAACTACTTATTTTGAACTTTCAACTTTGGCACATGACTAATTAATTAAAGCTTTTCCTGACCAGTGGTTTAATAGTTTTTGGACACAGCAAACTTTTATGAATGAAACTCTGAGGTAGAACTAGGGTATAGCCATTATGTAAGGGACTGTGAATGGCTGCCCATGGCTTGACATTTGGGACATGGCAAATTATGATCATGTATAATATGGACTCTACCTGGTTTTTTAACCTCAAATTAAAATATTATTTTTTCAATAACATTTAAGTTCATTCTAAAACATAATTTATCAAATAGTTTGATGTAAATAGTAGTTATAATTAAATATTTCCCAAGTATCGGCATATTCCTCCATTAAAAGGGGGCGTGGCCTACGCCATGTCGAAATTAGGCTGAGTGACCTTATGGTAATGCAGGTTACTAGGACAAGCATAGCGAACGTCGGACACGGCCTACATCAATGAAAATTGGTACACATATACATCAATATACAATGCTTTACCTGTTTTAATATGAAAGACCTTATCTTTAAATTTCTTAAAAATTTTGAGGGAAATATGCCTTATATTGAAAAATGATTTTCCTCACTTAAAGTAGATATAAAGAGAAAAAAAACTCAATGGGTATGTAGGTAAACATTGCTCCTTGTGTGAATGGGCGGAGTCAGACCTTAATTATTTGCCAAAAGCCAAAAAGACTCCTGTATTTTTAAAATTACAGGCACATAAAAAAATTCAAAACTCTGATGATTCTATTGCACCGACGCCCATTTCCGATACAAATTTTCTAGGAGTGTCCCTTGCTTCGGCGAAGTACCTACATTTAATTAGACATATTAGACTAACTCTATCTGACTGAAAGACTTGGACTTGGAATATTTTGTTTGAATTTTGAATTGAAAATATCAAAATCAATAGTTAAAATATGATATTTGTAATTGAAAAGCTGGGTTGCTGTAGTTTCATCGCCAGAATAAATTATTATTTAGTGTGGATGTTACTCTTTAAATCATGAATTTGTGATTTCTAATACTAATATTGGTTGTAAATTTGTAACAATGGGTAGGGAGGCCAAAAATTGGCCAGAAAAGCATAAATTCATTTTAAGCAAGTGAAAACTTGTATAAAAAAAAAAAAAAAAAAAAAAAAAAGAGACAACTAAAAAAAAAAAAAAAAAAAAAAAAAAATAAATTATAAAAGAGATGCCACTTACAAAAAAAAAAAACTTTGCCAAAAGCCTTCTTCAGCAACCAACAGTAAAATTAACTTGTTTCTTTGTCTGAGAATCGATTGAAAAATTATAAGGATTGTGCAGGTAAGGAAATAAAAGAAAAGGAAGTACAAGAAAGATGCGGAGGATGTGTTATTGTGAAAAATAACAATAAAGTATTATGTTCATGCCACATGGTGTTAGTTTCCTGAAACTTTGTATTAATCTATTCTCCAAACCCACCCTAGCTGGTGTGTGTGAGTGGAGGAAAAAATAGCTGCAATGGACATATCAGTAACACCGTTGTGGTTGCTATTGTTTAAGTGAAATGAGGTGGGGCACTGTTTGTTATGTTCAATGTTATTTTACTTTAAGGACAGTATGTAGTCTTTTTATCTTTTTAAACTAATAATTAGTATTTAAAATTAAAATTAGTATATTGAAGTTACATTATTTTCAGGTAACTGCACTGTTGGAGCAAAATGGTGCAAAAAGAGACTCGTATCTCAGTGAAATGGTCAGTATTGTCATTGCTGACAGCACAACGTCAGATGATTATTCAGAGGCTAAAGAACTCTTTGAACTCCCCATTGTGACTGTAAGTTTGCCATGTTGCCATTTCAAAAGTTTACTGGATTGAACAGAAATTATGGTTGCGTGTTTGTGATGTTAAGCCCTATTATAAATAATGGAGAAGAAAAAAATTGTAGGGTGAAAATTTTAAAATAAGATAACTTGTTATACAAAATTCATTTGAAATTATTTTACTGTGCTAAAATTCAATGTTACCCTATGAAGTATTTAAATTTAAATGAAACTTTATATAAGTTTTAACAAGATTTTCCTACAATTTGGACAAAACAAATGTTGATAATGAAATAAAATTTCAGAGTGACTGGGTGATACTTTCCATTAAGTGCAAGAAACAGTTACCGTATCCTTAATTATCTATCTTGTAATGGTTTTAAAAATAAAAACATTAATTTAAAAAAAAAATTGTATTTTTCATAGAAAGTTTTTTATTCTCAAACAGCAGAAATCACAGAATAAATGGATGTTAATTTAAAATGAATTATATTCTCCCTTTTAATTATTTTCTACTTTTCTTCTTAATTTGGGGAGATAAATCACTACAATCTATAGGCCATCTAGATGTTGTTAATGATGCAAAATTACTGGCCATTTCTTTTGTTACACAGAATACATAGACTAGGTAGTTTCAGAGCTATAATGATCTTTTGAAAGTCAATGAACATTGATTTTGAAAAGGCTACAAATATTTATAAATTCAATTAAATAAAAGTTTCATCAAAATATGAACACCTTAACACTTTGTCAGAAAAGAAATATTCTTTCTTGAGGGGAAATTATTCTCTGGTGTAGTTGCTTGCCCTTCAGAGGTGAGTATTTTTTATGTTTGCATTATGTTGTTGTCATTTTCTCATTTTCAAGAATTTCAAACATTTTCATTCTTAAAGTAACAAAATACACCTTTAAATGTTCATGTAAAATGTACAAAGTGAATACAGCTCATCTCAGCATCTATAATCTCTTTTCTCTTTAAAAATCCCTATCAGATGGACCACATAATTAATCTTAAATTAAATGATATTTAAACAAATTTGAACAATAGATTGACGACGAGGATGTACTGTCTGTTTGGGGGATGCTTTTTTACCATGGTGCGAAATGCCAGCTTCATTTGGATGGAGGTGTCACCCACCTCATCACAACAAGTGTTCTTGGGGTAAGTGGATTTTAAAAAGGAAGAGGATAAATAAATTAAAAATTTTCTTGTTAATATATCAACAAGGGTCATCACACTTCGGATATTCCTGAAATTTTATTTACTGATATTTAGAAAATCATTCTGCAGGACCTTGATTTTGCTGTTAACTTTTAAGATTCCATTAATGCGTTTACTATGACTATTCGTTATTGTGAAGTGAATTTTAGTATTTTAATTTTCACCGTTGATGTACTGTATGGAATAAGATGTCATGTGGGTTGTTGTTTTCTTTGAGTGGGGTGGGGGTGTTATTTAGGATGGTGGAATATTTTTAAAAAAAGACTCAAGACCAGCCCAAATGTATACTGGTTCAATACTGGTTGGGCCTAAAAATTAGACAGCTGTGACCAAAAAAAAACCTGTGAGAGGCTTAGGAATGTACACTCCTATAGAAAGACCAGTAATGAAGTAACTTCAGGAATGATATTTAAAAACGGTCGTCTTTCTAGTGTCCACCTTGGCTTTGTTGTCGCGAGCAAATAATACTATTAAACCAACAGACCACACGTTACAGGGCACAAAAGGACAATCCAGAAAAGTCAGGGCCACCATTGCTCTCATAGATGACCAGTCTATCCCTTGCGCCTATTGCAAATGAAAAGGATTCTGCCTGGCAAAACCCCCAGTAACCCTTGGATGACTAGAGTTGTGCTCGTTGAGTCAACAGGCAGATACACAATACTATAAAAATGTATTATCCCTTTGTCTAAACAATACGAAGAATCCTTGAATGAGAAGGCGAATAAGATCGAATCATACTATACAAATTTGAAAGTCAATTTATTCATCACCATAGCCCAGTATGTGTTGTACTGATATTATTTTAACACAAAGTAGATAGCAAAACACATCCTGGCTTTTTTTTCTTCTTTTTTTTTTTAAAGCCTAAATACACCAGTGCAATACGGGAAGGAGATAAAATCAAAATTGTGACGCCTGACTGGATCACTGACTCCATAACCAAATCTGAACTACAGAATGAAGAGATTTATCACCCGAGATTGTTGCAGTATCCCAAACCACAGGCCCCCACTCCTCCCCCTGAACTGAGCACTGACTATGACCTGGACCCCTCGCATGCATCTTCGGATGCATTTCCACCTCATGATCTCATGGATGTATCGCCAAGCCAGCAGATGTTTTCAGTGAAGGCAAACAGTGCCCGGCAACAGGTGACATTTGATGACAGGTACGGTGTAACCATATAGTTAAAGTACAAGAGAATATGTTGCTTGGCATTTTAATCTTCTTTGCCTTTTCAATTCCCCGTGGAGCACAGGCCGCTTGGCATTTTAATCTTTTTTGCCTTTTCAATTCCCTGTGGAGCACAGGCCGCTTGGCATTTTAATCTTCTTTGCCTTTTCAATTCCCTGTGGAGCACAGGCCACTTGGCATTTTAATCTTTTTTGCCTTTTCAATTTCCCGTGCAGCACAGGCCATTAACAATTTCTTTCCAAGCCTCCCGGGTCTCTAGCTCACATCTCAAGCTTTTTCTCATCTTTATAACATCCTTGTCGACCTCTCTTCGCCAGGTGTTTCTCTGGCCTTCTTCCTTCTCTTGATCCATGAGGGTTCCATACAGTGATTATCTCATTATATTTGGCTTGGGTTTTCTCATGGCATGTCCTATCCATCTCCATCTTCTTTTCTGGATTCTTGCTCCACTGGGAATTTGGGCAGCAATTGCCATGTTTGGGATTTTATGCTATGGGAATAATAATGTGTAAATTAAAACAATTGACTAATGCTATTTTTTTTCCTAAAAGTTTCATTCACATATTTGTTGTATATGAAATAATAACATTGTTGACGTAGTTTTGAAATCATATTATGCATAAAATAATTACAATGGAATTTCAAATATAATTTACAGATATTTAATGTCCATAGTTTTTGTGTTACTTCGCACTGTTATAACTTTCAATTTGGTAAAAGAAATGAGGAAAAATGCAACATGCTTTTTTTGTTTTTTTTAAATTGTTAACTTTATTGATTCATTTTAAGTAGCTCAGAAAAACATTTGTTGTTTTTTTTCTTCCCACAGGTTGGAAACTGCACGCCCAGACACACCAAGTGCCAAAGAGGCACTTGCCAGAAAAATCAGCAGCAGAATCTACAGCAAGTCATCTTCCGAGCCAACGACCCCAGAGAAACCTAGTGTGCCACTGCAGCCAGTGGGCTCACCGGGGTCATCCGGTGTTGTTAGAGTCATTCCCCCTGTGCCGCAAATCGGACTCCAGCCTCGGATTGATCAAACAAACATTCGAAATACCTTACGGAATATAACTAACAGAGCTGTTGTGCCTGGCAGTGTTCCGCTTAGATCTTCCATGCCAGTACCCGCACCAAAGGTAAAATTTTATGTCAAAAGACATTTCATCAATGTTTATAACTTCAAATAGTTTTGAGTCTGTTCAAAAGTAAAAATCAGCCTTTTTTTCTCTATATTATCATCTAATACAAGGGAAAGAAATATCACCTTAAATTTTTCTAAATTGGACCTAATCAATTTAATATTCTCTTCGTTTGATTCTCAAACAGCCTTGAGGGACAACATATCTATTGCATTTTGTAATACCCCAGCAGTGGTGATCCAAATCATGAAACCACTTAGCCAAACTCTTAACCTTAGCCAACATGAATTATCTTAGGCTATTTAGCAGCAGCGAAGTTTATATTTAATCTGCAGGGGGTTTATTTTCAGATGAATCCTCTTGTTGGTATGAGCATGCCCCCGCAGCCCAGACCCCCACCCCCTGACTATCCGTTCCCACAGAAAGCAGCTCCTGTTCCTGCACCATTGCCCCTCCCACCGCAGCAGGTGTCTGGTCCGATGCCGGTGGCACCCACCCAAACACCTGCTTCAATGGTGCCCACTCCACCTGCTTCAAATCCTCAGACACAGACGGGAGCCGTTTATTGTGGGCATGACCCTAAGGAAAATGGTAAAAATTATGTTTTAAAATATAAGCACGGCTGAAGCTAGTTGTCTGTCCTTTAAACTTTTGTGTGCTGGCATTGTTTCCCTTATCATGATTTCTCAGTAATGATAGAAGCTTATTTTCAAGGTGATAGAAAGAGTCATGTAAAATATTACATCAAGGGTGGCCAACCAGAAAGGCTTTGCTGGCCTGTCATTACATCTTATATTAAATCATTAAAATAAGCCCAGGCCCCACCCCCACCCCAACCCAAATGTTGTCTAGGAAGGTTTATCTATTTTTAATGCACTTAATGAAATGCTAAATAACAAAATAAAAATTGTGACGTCATTTTATCTTTTCTCTCACTGATATTTTTAAAAATCTGTGACTTTGTCAAAGGAATGAAGAACAAATGATTTCATTTTAATAAATCAGGCATCCAACGCCTGCAATATTTGACGTGGCAGGGCTCTAGCTGGCCGCGGGCTAGCCGCCCCGTGTTGAAGTTTTTACTAACAATGTTCTCAAAACTTATATGAAATAAATCTTATGTCTATGTTGACATAGCCGACTCACTTTCACATTGAAAAAAGATTAACTGCCTTAACAGTAATCATTTGAAACCTAAATTCAATTCATTGATCCAAAAAAATTTAAGGCACTGTCTTGAAAAAATTCCAGGGATTTTATTGTAATTTTGTATGTGCTGACATGGAACAGAAGAAAAGTTAATATATTATCATCTTTAGTGAGTAAAATTCATGTAGAAAGTTTCATTGTTCTGAACTCACACTAATATTTATACGACATAAAATTTTTTTTTTTTTTTAAAATTGTAAATCCAATCCCATAGAAGTTTTCCTTCTTGGTTGGGTATTAAAAAATGTTGTTCCAAACCATCCTGGTACAAGCTTCTAACACATTAATAACAAATAAATTTATTGTTTTTACAAACCTAGTTCCTCCAGACTTGTGTCTTCTCGGCTGTGTATTCTGTATTGTTGATTACCAAAACATACTTGGCTCAGGAGAAGTCGTCGCTTGGAAAAAGGTCAGTTTTTTTAAAATTGTACTTGGAAGTGGTCCCCAAAGTTTAAAAAAAAAAAATATTTGCAGGGCCCCATGTTTAAAATAAATTTTGCTTAAATTTTCATGAAAACTACTTTCATTTAATTACTCACCCAACTTTATAACATGAAAGCTTAAGGCTTTTGCCCTTACCTATTGTTAAACTGGTCATGCTTTAATCTCAGGTCATAGAGCAGTATGGGGGCCAGGTGGAGTCTTCCTACTGTAACCGAGTGACTCATGTTTTGTGCTCTAACCAGAAGTCTGAGGTTTTTAAAATGGTAGGTTTACTCATTGCCCTGTAGTTATTTTGTTTTCAAAACTATTCAGTGTACATAGAATTGCTTTTAAATATTTTTTTATTGATATCCAGATTTTGAATTGAGCTGTAGGTAAAACCGAATAGTTAAGTTATATTTACACAAAGCCTTGAAAACCCATACTACAACCCCTCCCCCACCTCTTGAAAAAAAAAAACCCATCTCTGACAATAATTATTCTTTTAAGTTATGCCGACTCTGGTGACAACAGTTCAATGTAAACTATTTCTACACTAAATAGAAATACCTGGACGGAAATCTGTTTTACCATGTTAAATAAAACCTCAATTGTTGTGGTACTAGTAAGTAATTTTAATATTTTCTGATCTAAATAATGACAGTGGATGCTCGTGGATGAAAACTTAGCACCGATGGAAATAAAATAGTCTTGTTTTGTTTTTTTGTGTGTGCTAAATTATAAATTGTATTCCCAAGGCATTGAAAGAGGGAAAGCGTGTTGTTACAGCATTTTGGTTGAACGACTGTCTGATGAATAAGAAAATGGTTCCACCCTGGGAAGCCCTTCATCTTCCACTGTCATTTCATTCAGAGAAACCAGGTTTTAATCAGGTAAGTTAGTCATATGTGTTTCAGACTTAAAAACACACATTTAAAAAAAAAAAAATTGCGTTTAATTTTTTTTAGGACATTTTTAAAAAAGAATAAAGATCAAGATATTTAGGTTGGGAATGTAGTACTTTGGCGACATGGTCTTTATGAAGTAATACCATTTTTTGGTCATATTTTCTTATTAATCAGGATACCTTGTTTACATATATATATAATTTTGTATTTTTGTTGAAACCAACAAACTGTTTGCTCACACTATTAACAAAAATGATATTTCATAGTATTGTATCATGCAACATTAGAAAACTGTTTCATATAACATTAGAAAACTATTTCATGTAACATTAGAAAACTATTTCATGTAACATTAGAAAACTATTTCATGCAACATTAGAAAACTGTTTCATATAACATTAGAAAACTATTTCATGTAACATTAGAAAAACAATTGATGTAACAGAAAACTATTTCATGTAACATTAGAAAACTGTTTCATATAACATTAGAAAACTATTTCATGCAACATTAGAAAACTGTTTCATATAACATTAGAAAACTATTTCATGTAACATTAGAAAACTATTTCATGTAACATTAGAAAAACATTTGATGTAACAGAAAACTATTTCATGTAACATTAGAAAACTATTTCATGTAACATTAGAAAACTATTTCATGTAATATTAGAAAACTATTTCATGTAACATTAGAAAACTATTTCATGTAACATTAGAAAACTTTTTCATGTAACGTTAGAAAACTATTTCATGTTACATAAAAAAATGAAGCTCAAGGGTTGGAGGCGGAAGTAATTTTAATTAAATAATTCTTGTAATCCAATCTTTTATTCCTGCATCGTTTTTTTTAAATTTATTGTTTCAGATGCTGTGTGTTTTTCTCTTTTGTTTCAGATGATCAGTGTGACCAACTTTGATGGAGAAGAACGTTTAAGGTTAAAACAGATGATCAACGCCATTGGTGCCAAGTACACAGGATACATGACGCATCACAACTCTGCACTCATTTGTAAAAAGTAAATATCTGAAGTGACTCATAAAGTATGAGGAAATCTAGTGTGTTTTTAATACAAGAAATGATTGGTCATCAACCCTCTCAAGCATAAGGATTTTTTTATTCTATTTTTTTAAATTTTAATTATTATTTAAAAATAAAATCGTATGGCTCAGCTAAATAGGGAAGTAAACATCTTTCATTTTCGTGCGTCAGTAACAGCACTTAATGTGTCTCAATCTTAAATTGGCTAGCAAGTCAAGTAGGATCTGATATCGTCTGGTTGAGAGAAGAGGATATCAGCGGGAGTGGCTGGCACCGCAACAACTCATAAAAAATACTTAGCCATAAATAAACCGAATGGAAGTCATTTTCCATAGAGAAATTAACAACTTGGATTTCTATTGATTTTTGTTTTTTTCTTTTTCATATCCAATTTATTTGTATAAGAATCATTAGGAAATAAGTTTTAATTTAAAAACTAGAATTTTTTACATTTTGAAAATGCTCCACATGAGATCAACTTGAAACTCTTGGTTAATAAGACACAAAAAAATTGTGTCAATATAAAAATATAAGTTACGCTTTAATAATAATTATACATAAGTAAACGTTTCGGCACATGCCTTCATCATTACAAAAAAAACAACACATTTAAATAAGTATAAATTAAATTTACATAGTATAAATTTACATATCCTACCTAAAAAAGAAAAAAAATTAGGAGAGGGCGCTAAAACCAGACAAAAACAAAGTAAAGAGGAGTAGAAAGGAAGTGATTTGAACATAATTGTAAAAACCAAACAGGAAAAAGACATGGCAGCTAAGTAAAATTGTGGATTTGGTTCATTCCATATGGAGACAACGTACCAAATCTTGTTATTAATTTGTTCTCCATATAGATTCTATCTGTAGTGTTACTAGTATAGAGTATACCAGTAACTGCGATGTCTGAGATACCATCATGGTTAGGGCTATTGAAATGTTTGGAAACCGGACAGAGAGCTTGTTTATTTATGTTATAGAGGTGTTCTCTGAACCGGTCCTCAAGGCGACGACCTGTCTCTCCTATGTATATTTTACTGCACTTTTTGCAAATGATGGTGTAAACAGTGCGACTTGTGCAGATAAAGCCATCTTTTATTCTGAATACTTCCAGAGGGAAAGTGATCTTATCAGTTTCGATCATGTAGGGACATGAGTTACAACGGCTATGGTTGCAACTTTTTGTGCCCTTATGTGCTTTAATAGCAGGGAGGTGGCTTCTAACTAGCATGTCCCTAAGGCTCTTGTCCCTCCGGAAAGCAAAAAGAGGAGGTTTTCTGAAAATCTCATTTGTGACAGGGTCTGCCATCAGATTTGAGCGGTTTT